CCCCCCCCATGATCTCACCGCACCATCCAAACCCTAACCATATTTCTAGTATTGGCTGCTTTGGTCTCGGCTTCATCCTCGATATGAAGGGCATGAGCCAGCGTCGCCGCGCCCAGATCGGTCTCTACACCGTCGTCATCCTCAACATCGGCGTTTACATCTGGTCCATCATCATGCAGGTGAAATTTGACCGTCACGACCCCGGTAACATCGACTGGAACGATGGCCTGTACGCCACGGCCTTTCTTCCCTACTTCTTCGTACAGACGACGGGCCCCCTGTCCCAGTCGTATATGTACTGGTTGCTCTCATCCTTTGCAACGGATGCGCAAGGTGACTTCATCTGCTACACCCTTTCAGACTTTAGGTCGAGTTTACCAACACGCTTTTAGAAAACGTGCGCAACGGCGCAGCATTTCGGTGTATTGAGGCTATTGGCCAAGCCATCGCTTATGGCATGAACACTCAGACTTCGAGTAGTCCGCTCGTTGGCTTGTAAGTATAATCTCTTTTCTTCAATTTTATGGTCTGTTTTCTCTCAGTGGCTTGAGTATTAACTGATCTCTTCCAGCTGCGTGACGTTCGGCCTTCTCGGCGCTGCCTTAATACCCATGATCATGCTAGTCAACACGACGCCAGACCAGATTCCCGCCGATGTGATTGCCGAGGAGCAGAATGCTGCAAATGCGAAGCTGCCGGTGGAGGAGCCATAGGCTCTAACCTTTGGTCCGAGAAGCTCAGTGTCAATTCTAGAAGTGCCGGGTCTGGTCACCGTGCTTCTTTGAGTTATGGTTGTTGCACATAGATTTCTGCATAGCCAAGCCCTGGCATAAGGCGTTCTGTGATTTATGATGTCTATGTATTTATCTACGATTCAAGTTTGTATATGAAGTTCTTTATCCCTGCTCGGTCTGGACAAATCGAACGATACCCAGGATTGAAACATAGACGCGAGGTAAATGAAATAATTGTGTCAACGTATCCATTTGTTTTTGGTATACAGTATAAATTCAATAGTGTAGCTACGTACTTGGGACGTTGCAGCCTGAGGCCACGATTGCTCCAGTAGCCCAGCTACGTGTGTCTCAGAGTCTCCCAGGCGTGAGCATCGACCTCGGCGCCGTCGACTCGGTGGGGTTTACTGCCGAGCATCGAGAGTCTCTACGTCACAGCTTCAGGGCTGTTACCGTGCACCGCGAGGACCAGATGCTGGCCATCATTGACCACCGGGAAAAGGCATGAGATTGAGGAACCACCGGGGCGCAAGGTTGTACAAGAGAAACAACATCCGTTTCTCCCTGGTGCTAGCGAGCAGCATCTCATGGGCCTCGAAGATATCAGGTCGCTGGCCCCGGATGGCCTCGAAATCCACCCCATAGGCGAGAATGCCGGTCACGTCCAGGGAGACCAGGGCGCTCACCTTCACGATGGGGACGACCGCGCAGGACACGCCGGCGCGGCGGAGGTGTGGAAGAGGACTATCATCAGCGACCTCCGGGTCGGCGATGCGGTCCGCAAACTGCGTGGCTTTGGTGAAGAGCGTCCGGGCGAGTTTGCGCACATTGCCTTGGTTGAAGACGGGGAGATACAGCTTCCGGTTTTGCCGGTGCTCCTCTTGCTCCTGCGAGACGATCCCGTGGCCCCAGAAGCGGGTCGTGTACGTTTTGAAGGCGGTGGCTTTCTCGTAGTCATAGGCGTGCGTGGAGAGGACATCCTTCAGGGTCTCTGGGGTGGTGGGGATAATGTAGGATGATCCGAAGAGGCCGAAGAAGTGCATCAGACCGGCGGGGTAGGGCCTTTGGTTGATCCATTTCGTGATAGGGAATGCGAGCGGTTCGTCGAAGATGTCAAACACGTGGTCGTAAAGCCAGTTGACGGACTGTGTCTATGTTAGTGACTGCTGGTCGCCCGAGAATGAGATGGTACATGTACCTCTGGCGCGGGTATTCCCTTGAGGGGACTGGAATGTCGGCGGTGCAATGTCCGTAGGCTGATGACGAGACTTTTGAGCACGATCCTCACAAACCAACCATGGCTCCACGGGAGACGGCGAAATCCTCAGGAGCTTTATGATGTTGCCGAAAGAGCCATATCGCAGCTGCCCACAGGATCATTCTGGCTATGCTGTCGAGAGTTGAGATAGCCATGATTCAACGGCAAAATGGAATTGATGGAAAGGAGAAGGTTCGCTAGGAAAAGCCGTTCAGATTCAATAGGATGTAGAACTGTGCTAGACTTTACGGTCTTGAAACAAGATGGGACGCGTAGATGATAACTTTGCTGGATCAACGGGAAAAAGTTCGGATGATATACAGCAGTCAATATGCTTTCGAAGACAGTTTCTTCCATATGCCCACCTTCAAGGTCGTCGTCCGCAATTGATCACAATTGGACTTGACTACCTCTGCTGACAAGCTATGTAACTGTGAATCCGTTACTTCGGAAATTTGCATGTTATTGACCAGGTGTGATATCCGACCCAGGGGGGCTCAGTGCATGGATTATTCGGATCATCTCCTCGCAGCTACGGCACTACTGCTGCATGTGATCCATATATTCACTCCGACAACATCACCTTGGGAGATCATCTTTCGTCTTCCGTCCCTGGAACCAGAAAGCTAGGTGGGAGTGTGGGCGGTAAATAGCCCATGTGAACATCCAGTACAGAGTTTGTGGCCTGCTGCCATCGAAATAGACGACCACTTCGGAACAGGAAGCATCATGGGCGCAGAACAGGATCTAAAGCTTCGAATGGACACTTCGGGAATCAAGCATCAAAACTCGGCTCAGCCCCGTGGAGTGGCCAACGTGGCGAGCTATGCAGGGCTGGATAGCAGCCTATCAAAAGGGCTATAGCTCTGGGAGAGTCCCCGAGAGAAAAAGGAAGAGAGACAGGCGATGAGGCCTTAATTCGTAAACAACACATAGGACTAGCCACGCTACCATCACTGCACTGGCCGGCTTCCAGATCAAGAACATCCTTATTCCCGAAGCAGAGCAGAAACCATATCTCAAGATAGGATTGCTTCGGGAAAGACCGGGGCATACCAGCTCTACGACTATCTTATCTTTACCGTGCATAAAAGCTTGCCAGCCTTTTTTCTTCTGCTGTTGCTGACAGAAACAGCATTTTTATGTGAATTAGTGAATAGACGTGGTTCAAGACTTGAACATTGTATATACGAAGCTCTATTCTGATCAAAATCTATGCAGAAAGAATCCCTCCAACAGTATTCTCAACATCCTCGATCATCTTCTCCTTCGAGCGGCTCGAGTCTAGTACAATCACATCGCTTTCCGATGGACCCGGGCTCTCCAATGTGTTAAGCTGAGAATCCACCAGTGTAGCTCGCATGTAGTGTGCTTCTACCTCCGAACGAGCGGCTACTCGCTCCTTGAGTTGTTCCCCGTCACGGATCGAGAGAAGCACGAACGTGACATTAACAGGAAAATCAAATAATTCCGAAAGGCGTCGCAGCTCATCGCGGTAAGCCGTGCGTAACGCAGAACAGGTCACTGCCACGGCGGGCCCGGTCGAGTGCTGCAACCGATCCATGACTGCACCGCGAATATGTGCTAGCCAATCCCACCTATCCCGATCCTCCAAAGGAGTTCCGTTTGCCATCTTAGCACGCGCCGCTGGGGAATGAAGGTCGTCGCCCTCGATAACAGGGATATTGAACCGTTGCGACAAGGCCTGGGCGGCAGTGCTCTTGCCGCAGCCACAAGGCCCAGTCAGGACAATAACCTCCCGAGGTGCCTCTGGAGCCGACTTCGCCCATTGGGTGCGGAAATATGACAGAAATCGATCGACCAGCTCTAGTGTCAGTCCTCCGGCCTGACGCAAGGCTGGAGCAGCCGCTTGGGCTTGCTTGGTGTCGTAGAGAAGAACGCGGCTAGGCGTGTCCTTGTCGTACTTGCCGGCGAAAAACTCGACCAATTTGATAGGTGGATTGACTTTGGGATCTGGGTTGGACTTCCGAAGACGACGAACCCAGTCGCGGGGAGACAGTGTTTCAAACTTCAACCCAGCCTGTCGGAGGAGTGGAAGGAGATCCTTCCCCCAGTGGTTGAGGTTCGGATTAGTGACATTGAGCACATCACCTGCAACTGGCGCAAGAGTCAAGTCAATGACACTTGCTGCTAGAACATCCACAGGTGTCCACGAGAGAATATCATCCAGTTGTGGAAGTGCTCCGATCGTTTCTGCACTTTGGAATATCATGGGGATGGCTTCCGTGGCATTCCAGATACCATGAACAGAATCCGCGATGATTTGCCCCGATCTCAAAACGCGAGCCGTCATCCCCGTCAAGTGAGCTGCACGGTTGACGATATGCTCTGTGACGAGCTTAGACTGGGCGTATCCCATTCCCTGTGCGTAAGAGAGCGATTCAGGCAGGGCTTCTGGAACCCAATTGCCCGGAGTTCGGGCCACAGTGCTTACGGATGAGCAGTATGAGAAGCGCGCTGGTTTGGGGCTGCGCACATTGAGGCAGAGATCCAGTAGGTGCCGAGTGCCTGCTATGCAGCTCGCCTCGAAGCTTTCCAGGGACCAGTTGAAATTGACAGACCATGCGCAATGCATGACAGCCGTTACTGATTGCACCAGCTGCTCATAAGTCGCTCCATCAAGACCTAGAGTTGGGTCTGAGAGATTCGAAGGTAAAGCCACTATCTTGTGCTCGGCGGCATGGGCTTGGGTGAGAGATAGTCCCCGCGCTCGTAGTGACTGGCGAACTCGCTTTAGGGCTGAGTAGCGAGATTCGGCACGGACTAAGCAATAGATAGTGTGGACATTCTCGCGTTCGGCTAGCTGAGCAATAACATGCGCGCCCAGCGAGCCTGTGGCCCCTGTCACAACAACCCGTTCAGCGTCTTCTTCCCGCGACACAGGAATATGAACCTTGAAGTCAGTACTGTATCTCTCGATTAAGCTTTGCATGCGTTCTTCCACTGGAATCTCAGCCTTGGGCTCTTGGCCCAAACGAGCCCGAGTGATTTCATCGGCCATGGCCTTCAGTGAAGGATACTCAAACACAAAGTTTTGAGATAATTTCTGTTGTCCGAGGTCGAGCGTTCTCATGATAGCGCTGCGCAGTCGGATGGACTGCAAACTGTCAACACCTAAGCTGAACAGGTCGGTTTGATCTTCAAGTATGGAAGAATCAATAGACGGCGCGACTGCGAGTAGCTGTGCCCGAAGGAATGCGAGAAGAGCAGTCCCTTCAAGAACTCGATCTCCGGTCGCATCTTCGATATTGTAAATCTCGTCGATCTGATCCTGGTAGTCACGGTAAAAGGCCGAGCGAATGACTGTGCCCTTGTCCGTTTTTCGAAATACTGCGTCTGGCGGCAGCACCTTTATCATCTCCTGCGAGATGTAGGCGTAGGCCGGTGATTCTGCATTACACCGCTCAATCGCAGGGTACACGGCATCGATGAGCTCCTCTGCGGTTTTGCAGGGTGAACCTTCCGCGGGTATCAAGAATAGACCCAGACGAGGCTTGTTTGCTCCAAAGGCAATGGCCTCAGCCACGTTGGGGTCATTGCGGGCAACCCCCTCGATCACAAGGGGATTGGCCTTTTCGCCGTTCTCCAGCACCAGTGTGTCGTCTAGACGGGCGTAATACCTCCAGGCGTTAGGAGTTGTTGGATGTTTCTCGAAGAGGTCTTTCGTGGCATACGAGTTGTCCGGTCGGTTGCTGGCTACTTTAGACGGCCAGCCTTCCAGGACACAAAGTTCGTAAATGCCAGGCATTTGCTCCTCCCAACGAATGTATGACAATAAGGTCGGACCAGGCCGGACAAAGTCCCAGTCCAGGTCTTCACGTTCGCGGAAGGAGGTCATCAATTGACCCGTCTCGGTGGTACCGTAATGGGACACGAGGCGGACTCCATTCTGCACCAGCTTGTCACCGATAGGCTTCGGACAAGCCGAGCCGCCAAACATCACCAGCTCTAAACGAGCCATTACTTGAAGACCCTCAGGTGACTCTGACAACAGCTTCAGGGCGTATGGGACGGCATAAAGAACTTGGATTTCTTGGTGCTCTTGAAGGGTGGTGAGAAGATGAGTGGCGGTCAAGGGAAGCTCGGCATTGTAAAGATATATGAGCTTCTGTGAGTGTACTGCGCGGAACAAGCAACTGATTCCATGAGCGTGGAATAGAGGCAGAGTGATGAACCCACACAAGCCGAAGTTATTGGCATAGTTCTTGAGAGCCCCGGCATGCGTCTGGTAGATGGGTTTGGGATGTCCTGTTGAGCCACTGGAGTGAATGATCCAGCAAATATGCTTATTTTCGATCTGCCCATCCAATTGAGCTGGTGGTAGCGTCACAGTGGCTGTGGTAGTTTTGTCATAGTCCCCACGTCCCAGTAATGGCTGGAGACGAATGCCCGTTCTCTGCGCCACTTTATCACCCATGGCGAGGAAGGTGGTGTGGGCAACGAGATATGAGGCCTTGGTGGTCTCAGCGAGGCTGACGTAGGCATCTTCGGCAATGCGAGTGGATAGCAGAAGCGCCGTATGTCCTAGTCTCGAAATAGCGAGCAGCGTGATCAAGTACTCAAAGTCCGAGGGGCCCAACAAGCCGATTACCTGGACCGCGTCGTCGGATGAACGTCGCTGGGGGATTAACTTGGCATAATGAACTGCTGCTGCTTCGACAAAAGTGTTAAGCTAATGAAAATGGTGTTAGCGATCAAAGAAGCTATTTATGATTTGATGTGTGTCTCACCTGTTGGGGGCTGTAGTAGACGTAGTTAGTGCCAGATGACGGATAGGCGACGATTGGCTCATGACCAAGACGTCCTTTCGCTCTTGTTTGAAGTAGATGATTTATTGTGTCAAAGTGCTCTTCCAGGCTATCTAGCTCATTGACAGAGGTGGCTGGTGAGGCAACGCTCACGGGAGTCAGACTGGTTGGAGGCGAGCGAGATGGCGTTGGCACCACAGACTGTAGCACTGCAGATGCCATGATGAGTGCTTAGTTTGCAATAGAACGACAGGAGTGGAGTGAGGCGAGAGGTACGTTTATTCTTCTATCTTATGCTATTGTCCAGGTACCTCTGGATGGCCGCAGGACTTCCCGGATTTTGTCGGTCGGCCATTTTCCGGACTGGTGGCATCAGATGATCAATTCGGAGATGTAATCCGCGGTCGAAGCATCCAAGGCTGACGTGGAGACATGCAGTCATGGGATTTGAGCAAGTGGATTCGAAAGAGGAGGGGTTGGAGGAAACCAACAACCGAGGCGTGGGGAAATCCGCTCTTTTTCCGCCACGGCTTCCGCAAAGCTGCCGCCGCGCTGCTGCCTCTGCCGCTCTCTCTCTAGCCTGGTAAGTCACATGGTCTCTATACTTCGGCTGGAGTGGTTTATGCATAGTAATGGCTATGCTTAGTCATGGTATGCTCGTTATTCAACTATTTACATTGATAGCTTAGCACATAACAAGCAGGATGGCAAAGCAATGCGACGTATGGAATCCCATTTACTCTCTGTTCAACTATTTAAAATTCATTAAAAACATGTGCGTCTTATAGTTTCACTCTAACTAAGCATCTATGCTATGTGACTTCCGTAGGTTGTGAGCACTAATTCTCTAATCCGTACGAGAATATTAGATGTAAGAATAACTAATGTATAAGAGCATACTGATGCAGATGACCCCATCTTCCCGGACTTACGAAGAAAACTATGCTAGACTGTGAATTTTATCTTGGTCCAAAAAAAAGGCATTATCAAATGCCAACCTTAAACCTTGTAGGTCAGGCATCGCTACTGCCGTTTATGTCGAGAGTAGTCGAGTCTAGCCACTCCTTCGTAGATGAATCGGTACTCTTACACTTCCCTGTTCTATCAAAAGAACCGTATGTATCTACAACATCTCAAGTAAGTGATACATATACTCAGCAGGGCTGGGTTGTACTCTGTGACAGGATGTCTTGCGACGAAGAACCCTTCGATGACTACTACGACGAGCCGTGTTTCGATGACCAGTACTACGATGAGCCAGATTGCGGCGACCCGTACTATGACTATGATGAGCCAGATTACAATAACCCTTACTATGATGAGTCACACTACAGTGGCTCTTATTACGAAGAGCCATATTACAGTGATGCTTACTACGATGGGCCGGGTGACAGTAACGCTTACTGTGACGGGCCATATCGCGATGACGAGCAATACGATGAGCCAGACTGTGATGACCCCTACTACGAAGAACCAGCTTATGATCCGTCCAACTACGGGCCACCTTATGAAGAAGGGTACTATGATCGACCGCCCTCTAAAGATCAGTACTGCCATGAGCCGTATTCTGATGACCAGTACTTCGATGAGCCACCCTTCGATTATCAACATCCAGATCAACCTTTCTTCGACGACGAAGATCTCCATGACGAAGACTTCGATGGACCGCCTAATGATAATCAATGTTACGACGAACCTCCGTTCAATGGGTCATGCTCAGCTGGGCTGCCGCCCCACCGCCAAAGCTACGCTCCTGCCTCTTCCACTAACTCAAGGAGTCACCAACCGCCTGTGAATGTCAGACGTGTAAATCAGGTGACTGTCAACATCCAGCAATTCCATAACCTGTCTGTTCACGTATACCCCGCCGCGAACACGACCTTCTCTACCAGAACACAAGACTCTGAAAATCAGCACCCCAGGACTCAACAACCCAAGAATCAGCGCCCGAAGAACAACCCCAGGGGCCAGTTTCCTCGTGAGCAGTGCCGCAAGAAGCAACCACCTACCTACCAGGCAGCCCTCCCAGAAACTGCTCTGCGACTCACAGTCGGTTGAGAAAAAGTCCTCTGACAAAATGCCCTCAGACGAGAAGCCACCCACCGAAGTCGCTTCTCATATCAAGGCCACCGAAAAGCAAGCCTCGGACCCCTCTTCTGCTTCTACCAGACCTTCTCCCTCCGAACCATCCACAATTACTCCAGTCCAGTCGAGGTAATCCTTTCATCGAACTCGCGTGCAGATGATCATATAGTAACACAGCAAGCAGACTCCGTCTCCCAGTTTCACACTGACATTCTGGACTGTTCTCTGCGTAACAAAATCTCATCCAAGACTTTCGCCCGGTTGTGCGACATCCTTCGTGCCGTCGACAGCCCTGAAACCAAAACACTGCCGAAGAGAGAGAATATATTCAGGAAGAATGAGAATAAAAGACTGGGATCGGACAGTCGGGGCAGCCAGTCCTCTGCTGATCTGAAGTGATTGCACGAGAAGAAGTGGGATCCGCATGTGATATTGCCCAGACACACTGGCGTATGAAGATGACACAAACTTTGTTAAGCATCTCTCATGTACCATCGCACAAGAAGTTCGTTCAGATTCATAGCTTGAGAGAACTATGCTAGCCTTTGACTATTAGACAACTCATGTAAGAACAGCCTTCCGAGCCAAGCTCCTGACCATCTCACTTAAAACCGACATAAAGTCATATTCATTTATCAGAGAACCCTCTATGAAGTACAGTACACCATAACCCAACCATAAACGCAGCCTTCGAAATCAAACTCACACATTAAACTTCACCAAATTCTCCTCCGCAGCCTCCACTGCCGCCCGACGCACCGCATCCTCCCCAGCCTCCCCAAAGATATCACACCCCCACCTGGCCGGGAAATTAAACCTCTTCCCTCTCTCCAGCCCATCCAACCGCCGCATCACCCCTTCCTCCAACTTTCTGACCTGCAGATTCGCCCGAATCCGCGCCGGCGTCACGCTCTTCGACAACACGACCGTCCCGCGCTGCACGCCCCAGCTCAGCAGCACCGGGCCCGCATCCAACCCCACCTCCTCCGCAACCGCCTGCACGACCGCATCGTCGACGGCGCGCGGCTCGCCGCTCTGGTTATTGCCCAGCGGCGAGTACGCCTCGACCAGGATGCCTTTGCGCTGGCAGTACTGCAGCAGCTCGGGCTGCTGGAGGTACGGGTGCGCCTCGATTTGGTTCACCGCCGGGACCACGTCTACCTTCGCCAGGAGGTCGTCGAGCCGGGCGGCCGTGAAGTTCGACACGCCGATCGCCCGGACCTTCCCGGTCGCGAGGAGCTTCTCCATCGCCTTGTAGGTGGCTATCGGGTCGGTGCCGGGGGCGAGCTCGAAGACCCCGGATGGGTCGAGGGGGAACCATTTGTCGCTAGGTTTGAAGGCCCTGCACACCATTTGATGCGTGTGTTAGTGGCATGTTTACATTCAATAGAGAGGGGGGGGGAGCGGGACATACACAGGCCAATGCATCAGATACAAGTCCAGATACTCGACGCCCAGATCGTGCAGGGTCTTGTCGAGCGCGGGCTCGACGTCTTCGGGCGCGTGCTTGGTGTTCCACAGTTTGCCGGTCAGAAAGATCTCCTCGCGCGGCACGCCGGCCTTGCGCATGCCGGCACCCACTTCCGTCTCGTTGCGGTAGATGGCCGCGCAGTCGATGTGTCGGTATCCCTCGCGCAGGGCGACCTCGACGGCGTGCTCGACTTCGAGGGGCTTGGCTTGCCAGGTGCCGAAGCCCACGGCGGGGATCTGGGCGCCCGTGTTCAGGGTGAAGTGCGTGGGGAGGGACATGGTGACTCGGTGGCTGTGGGTGAGTGTTTGTTAGTGATTGAATGGCAGGGTGATGGGTTGCCTGGCAATATAACTTGTTGTCTGGCTCTTTCGAGTTGACGGTCGTACTGCGCAACCGAAAAGAGTAAGTGGGCGGTCGGTCGGATTTCCGCCCCCGCAGCCCTAACTGCGACGGAAAAGCGCGCAGCGGAAATCAATCAACCTAACGCGGCGGCGATGGCAATCCACCCTCCCCCACTCTCCCCTTCTCCCCAACTCCTCCCCGCTTTCATGTTCAGACTCCGGCAACCAGCCTCCGCGTTCGATCTTTGGTTCAGTACCAAAGACTTGATTTGGCGCTCGAATTATCAAGGTCAATAGCTACGAGATCAGTACAAGCATTGACATCATAGTCTCTAAGAAGAAAGTGCTCCCAAGTTCAGCCTGTTTCGACCACTCTACCCCGCGGAGACATATTATGACAAATCGACTATACGCTCTTTCATCCCAATAGAGATACCTCACTCAGCCCCGTGAGGAGACGCGACCATTCTACCAAAAGTCCATGATACCAATCTGACCCTACAACTAATAAGAGTACCTAAAATGCACATTCTCCCCGTCCGTCAGATCGATCCGCTCCCCAGCATCATCCAAATGCACTCCCTCAGCAGCCACGACCGCATCCCTCCGCTGATTGAGCCACACCATGTAAGCCGCAAAGACAAGCAAAAGGACAATCTCCACGCAATACGCCACCAGCATCGTCACAATCCCCGACGTATATGTCGGCGCCTCACTACTCTTGAAGCTGAACGGACCAACAATGTTGCCCACGCAGTAAGCGACAAAGAAGACGGCGTTGACGGTCGACCGTTTCGTTGCGCCCGTCGTATTGGCCGTGATGAGCGACATGATCATCGCGAACGAGGCGGTGTATGTACTAGTTAACTGAATATAGCATTAGCTTCTTTCCTGTGGTATGGAATGACAGTACAATAGCTACCCAGTAGCACACCAGCAACGCCATGGAATGCGTTCGGGATATCGTATGCAGGCCTACAGCCCCTGCCACGGCTGGACACACGTAGAGACAAGCCACGATGCAGCGTTTCTGGCCGGGCAGCCAGCGTTGGAGATACATCGCGGAGACGTTCGAGACCAGGATGATCATCCCGTACGGGATCTGGAAGAGAGTCGTCACGAGGTTCGAGTACCCGAATCCCTCGATGATCAGGCTGCCGAAGTTGCTGGCGGCCCCGTTCACGATCTGCGTGCACACACCGCAGAGGAAGAAGAGCCATGTTTTGGGGTCAGTCAGTGCTTCCCAGATCTGATACCGTTTGATCTCGTGGATAGGTTCCCCAGAATGAGCGGGACCAAGGCGTCTGACAGCAACTCTCCTTTCTTCTTCGCTCAACCAGGAACTAAGGAGAGACGGGTGAGCGTAAAAGGAAACCGGGTATAAGTGCGAGGCACAGACTCACGCATTATACGGCCCGTCTGCCAGTGTGAACATCATGAAGGCTCCCCATCCCACCGAAACAGCCCCAAGAATAATGAACTGATACTGCCATGAGGCAAGAGAACCGTGGATATGGCCGATCAGGAAAGCCAACAGACCACCAAAGGAGTTGGCAACTCCCAGGAACGTCGACCACCACCCGATTCTAATGGGTTGCTCTTCGATCGTATACCAAGTAGCCGTGATCAGGAGGTAAGCAGGCGTGGAACACGACTCCAGGCCTCCTAGCAGAAACCGCAGGGCCAGAAAGCTCTGGAACCCATGGCATGCTGCGAGAGCCATTGTGATCCCACCCCAAAGAATCATGTTGGCCGCGAGCCATTTCGGTACTGAAAGCTTCTGCATCACCAGACTCGAAGGATATTCAAACTGGGTTTTCATCATGTCAGCAACGCAGCCCATATGCTTATCTCAAAACTTGGGATGGATTATGCACCGCTAGATACCCGAAGTAGAACATACTTGCTGTCATGGCACCAGTCAGATTGAATGAAGTGGTTAAACAGAAAATCAACTTGCCTAGCCAGCTATACTCTTCTCCCTTCAAGTGCAGATCCTCCTTCAAACCGAAGACAGCTGCATATCCCAGCATTGCCTTGTCTATGTATGTGATGAGGTAAGTGATGCAGATGAAGGGGATAACGAAACAATCGATCTTTCGCACCACCCTCTTCCGTGTCTCTGGGTCGATAGAGCTGGGGTCCCATTGCTGCCTCGATACGCCCAGTCTGTCCTTCTGAATAGGTGGACTAGCCACATGTTCGACATGATCTGCAAGGTTTTTGGACATGTCGGATTATCCTTTCGGTGTTAACTGGAAGATTGCATAGACACGCAGAGTAACAAGATGCCTGCGTAGACATTGACTGTATCAAATAGGATGACTAAAGCTCACGAAGTATGAGATCTCAGGCAACCCAGGAGCTGCTCATGAACATAATGCACGGACCCAAAAAGTCTCTCCCCCATGGGGGCAGGCTCCACACGGGGATACTGTACGATCGAAGCTCATGCCCATGCGGAAATGGAGTCACTTGAGCGACTATCGAGGGGTTGATGCGTAGTGTAGTGCATTGGAGTAGATCCGTGGTACTCGGAGGGCCTATCTGTTCCACAAGCTTAGCCCAAGCCTAACATGATCCAAGCTTTGAAACTCAATAGAGAAAGCTAGTTTGGAGAGGAACCCGGCGCGCCGGATACGTGTCGGAAACTTCGCGGAAAATGAGCGGAGATATTTGAGGGGGGAGTGGGCGGGGCCATATCTGATCCGGTTTTCGGTGCCGACCTTGCTTCTGTACACTCGTGACAGTACCTTCTAGCTCGGATCGGCAGATATGATGGCATTCAGATAGTTGATGCCCATCGCATCTCAACAATGTGGGATTCATAAATCCATTTGGGTTTAAGCACACGTTCAACTCAGAGTGTGCAATACATAGCTCGCAGTCTAAGATATTGCTAGCAGTGACATATCCGCCGAATTATGGCTGAGCTCCACTGAATTTAAACTTTCGTATCGAATGACGGTGGATGTTTGTGAGAGACCATGACCAGCGGAGAGCGGAGATGAACCGACCTCCAGATGTCAATGTCCCGCGTCTGGGGTCCCCCGCATGAACCGCTAGGCGAATTGCGAGTCCCGCATTTCCCCGGGTTGTTGTCTGATGCGGCACTTCATCAGAACCGGGGTAAATGTGCCCTCATAGTACCCCAAACAAAATATATAAGCCGTACTCCATTGCATCGATTCCGGTGTATATGCCCTTCTGCTGTGACCAAGGCCGGCTCATTCTTCTCTGTATATATTCCCTTCATCAATCGACCCTGCTACTTGCGTCCAATCCTCTCGTCTGATTCTTTGTGTTCCCAGTCATTCCACTTGGTTTGCGGAGGCTCAGAAATTCCTTACCTTCCTGAGTCAGCAACATGGCGGATGTCGACAAATCATCATCATTCCATGTAGAATCGACCACGAAACCGTACGATGACCGGGTCTCGGAGTCCTTCGAAGGACTATCGGACGAAGAGACGCAGGCATTAGAGAAGAAATGTGCGAGTCCCATTGACGGCTCTGCTCATGCTCGGGGTTTAACAAGCTGATGCCGCACAGTGGTTCGAAAGATCGATCTCCACCTGATCTCATCGCTGTTCCTGTTGTTCATCTTTAACATCCTCGACCGCTCGAACATTGCCAATGCCCGTCTCGGCGGAATGCAGGAAGACCTCCATCTGTCGGATACCCAGTATCAGACCGCAGTAGCCATTATGGTGAGTCACACTTGAATGTGCCAACATTGCATAGCAGAATGCTTACAGACTGCTCGCCATAGTTCGTCGGGTATCTGCTGGGCCAGGTCCCGAGCAACATTCTCCTCACCCGCCTGCAGCCCTCACGATACATTCCGACAGCAATATTCATCTGGGGCGGCATCTCCCTCTGCACAGCCGCCACCAAGAACTTTGCCGGGATCATGTGTGTGCGAGTCTTTCTCGGGTTCGCTGAATCGCCTTTCTTCTCCGGAGCATTGTATGTATCCTGCCCATGACGATTTGTTGCAGTGTGGCTGACACCTTTGTACAGACTTCTCATCAGCTCCTGGTACAAGCCGTCGGAAATTGCCGTACGGGTGGCGTTGGTGTATTGCGGAAACACAGTGGCCAACGGGTTTGGTGGCCTGCTTGCCGCAGGCATCATGGACGGGCTGAATGGCAAGGGTGGTCTTGCTGGCTGGAGGTGAGCTTTTGTCGGCAGAAAACTATTTCGTGCAGCGGTTCTGATTGGGAAAACAATAGGTGGCTCTTCATCATCGAAGGCGCCGGGACAATGGTAGCAGGTCTACTCGCGGTGGTGCTTCTGCCCGACTTCCCGCGCTCGGGACAGCGCAAGTGGCTGAACGAGCAGGAGCAGCGGTTCGCCGAATGGCGCCTGGCGCGCGCGGCCAACGATGAGGTCGATGAGAACGGGTCCGTCAAGGACGGCTTGAGAGAGGCACTCACCGACCCGAAGGCATGGATGCTGATCTCGATCCAAATCTGCCAGCTCACCTCCCAGAGCTGGACTTACTTCTTCCCCGTACGTCAAGTTCCCACCCCACCCATATTCGTTTTCTACTAATGAAACGCTGCAGACTATCGTCAAGACCCTGGGATTTGACAACACAATCACACTCCTCATCACAGCCCCCGTGTACGTCTTCGGATTCTTCACGGCGCTGGGAAACTCCTTGATCGCGAACCGCACCAACCACCGCGCGATCCTGATCATCTGGCCTCTGTGTGTGGACATCGTGGGCAACATCATGGTGATTTCGTCGCACGCCACGGCGGTGCGATACGTCGGGATGTTCCTGATGTGCGCCGGGTCGTACTCGGCGTTCAACGTCGTGCAGGCGTGGATCGCGAGTACGATCCCCCGCACGCGGACGAAGCGCGCGATCGTGTACGCGCTGGTGAATCTGTTCGGCAACTCGTCCAACATCTACGGCTCCTACTTCTTCCCCACCTCGGACGGCCCCCAGTACCGGCCCGGCGGGATCACGCTGTCGTCCTTTGCCGCGGCGGGGATTGTGTTAACGTCGTTGCTGGCCGTGTACCTTCATCTTCTCAACACGAAGGCCAAGAAGGCGGAGGAGCAGGATGGTCAGCAACGCTATAGGTACATTTGGTAGATAGCGGATTAGAACTGGAGAAAAACAGATAGTTTCGGCCTGAGCCTCATGACTGTTTTGACAAGATCACCAGGAATAATGACACACAATTATTGCCTCTCAGCTGTTCATTGGGTAGAGGCGCATGACAGACCCGGCGCGAGCTTTGCCGTGGTCTAGCACGGGTCTGTAGTAGTGGGCCAGCAGAAGCCAGTTCACTGTTTTCTCTATCATTCTTCGGTTATCATCAGCGAGTCGACCTCTGGGGGGGAGTGGTGATCCGGCCAGCAGTAGGTGTGGTCCACATAGGCGGAAATGTACAGGCAATATTCTCGAGAGTTTTCTTCAAATGGCAACTGCTTGGAGTTTGAAGAAGGTAGTTGTAGTTTGAGTTCTCTTCCAAAGGGCAGAGCATCACCTAACAGGTCTACTGGCAGTATATGCTATACTCTTCTTTGTCTGTCGCACTCAGACACGATCAGTGTACAGTACAGCACAAGTACATATTTGACCGACAGCAGCTCCTTGATCGACCAATTCAGCAGGGAGAGTAAGCCATGAAGCAGAAAGAAAAGTATGTAGCTTAACAACTACCACTGATCGAACAACAACCTCCCGAGTCGGATAGCTGCACCGGGAGCCGATGTCAACAACACCACCAGATTGATTCCCGAGAGCGGATTATGCGCACAATTAGTCATTCCTTTCATCAGTCAGCATTAAGCTCACTGATCATCCCTCCAAGTTACGGCCACGATATTCCTTCCCAAGCCTCAATCCCTAACATGACAACAAACCAGACGAACCCGAAGTTTTACACAAGTCGTCAAGGAACCGATCCCCGCCACTCATCTTAATGAAATTACTCAACCAACCAACCATACAGTTATCCCCCCTCCTTTCCTCCAATACCAAGCAAAGCCCCACCGAAACTCCAGCATGTAATCTTTTCCCGCGCGGCAAGTTTGACATTGCACTCTAGCCGAGCAGGTACATACAGTACACGGTAAATTAGAACTCCCTCCATCCACTGGAGTACAGGGAACTACTGTACTGTACACCGGCGTCAAGTCCGTCAGAGGCATCGAACTCGGTCTAGAGAACAAACCCGACCCGAAACATCAGCCAGATGGATATTCTCGGCGGACCCCACCCCCCCCCCCCCAAAAACCCCAGGACCGCATGTACCCGACTCGACCTTTCAGCTCCTTTTCGCTTCGGGACTCGCTCGGGGAAGGAGACATGCCATGCAGTGCCATGCCCATGCCATGTCCACCGGATGGGGGGAATCTACTGCAATCACAATCATGGAATCGGCAGGAGATCCGCCGAGGGGTGTCTAACAGTAGGTACTGTACCCAGTGCCATCACACTAACCGGAAGTAGTTGGTCTATCGTCCAATCGTAACTCAATACCACGAACAAAAACAGAGACGGTCGTATTCATTAGGCTGCGACAAAATTCCTTGTTGGCATGTTGCAAAGAACAGCAGAAAATGAGGCGATGATACTTGATTCATGGCCCCCCCGGAATTGAGTTTCTGGGCTGCGACGCTCCGTCCGGTTGGGTGGAAAGTTTTGTCGGAGAGGATACACTAATTCCCACTGAAGCAAAACGTGGACGGAATAGGAAAAAAGAGGCCTTATGCCTTATGCAACGGGCGGAACGGGCGGTCTGTGTGTGTGTGACACTGACCGCTCCCGGCTGTAACTACCATATATCACGTCATGACTTTCTTTGTTGAAGACATTGTTTTTGAAAAAAAAAAAAGTCTAAGAAAATCTAAATATTCCAATTACTCAGTATTAGGAAGCTGAAGTTACATGGATTTATTAATCAAGAGAAAAAAAAGATACCGTTCATTGATGCATGCCTTGCATATCGCATCTTCATCATATGAGAAAAAAAATCAATCGCAGTCTAAATAATAACATGACACAAAAAAATCACTCGAGACAAAGAATCGGTCTGCTTTCTGGTTTATTAACTGCCCAAGACAAGCGACAACGATGGATATCAGTAGTCCAAACCCGTAAAGCCGTAACAATATGGTGGTAAGTGTGGGGGGGGAGATGAAAATGTCTAACATCAATGTACTTGATCGGTCAAACATGATGTATGAGAAAATGGGGAATGAGAAGTAAGATAAAGAGAAGGAACTCGACACCGAGATGCCCAATTCCTTATTTTTGATCGTTTATAAGCGTCCCGTTTACTCAACAGCGGAGGCGTTCTCGCTGTGGAGGACAGGGTTGACCTTGGGGTTCCACTTGAACTTGAACTCCTGGCCCAGTTCCTTGCGGACGGCGGCCTTGACAGCCTCGAGCACGTTGGGGAAGACACCGAAGTTGGCCGGGTTGTTGTCGTCGTTGTCACCGCCCTGGAAAACACCGGTGCGGACCAAGCAGGTGTTCCAGCCGTGCATGTTACCACCGCAGATGTCGGAGGCCGGGTTGTCACCGACCATGTAGATGTTCTCGGGCAGCTTGTTCTCGTTGTGGATCTCCTCCATCCAGGACTTGAGAACCTCATCGGCGTAGGTGTAGGTGGCGCGCTCGGGCTTGCCGTAAACAACACGCTCGAGATCAACACCGGTAAGAGCCTTGTACTGGGCTTCGATGGAGATACGGAAAAGACCCTGGGTGAGACGGGGGGGGCCCTTGTGGTCGGTGGGCATGAGCAAGTCACCCTGCGAGAAATAGATGGGGATGCGGGAAGCGACAGGGTCCTTGGCGCGGGTCAAGAGCTTGCCGTCATCGGCCAGCAAGAGATCCATGATGAGCTGCATGTCGGTCTGATAGTCGCGAGAGTCGGCAAAGACCAAGATAGCGTCGAACTTGACCTGTGAGAAGTCGCGGGGCTTGGCCTCGGCCTTCTCCTCCTCGGTCAGGGTGCTCCAGGGAGAGACAGTGGGGTCCCAAGCCTGGATATCCTTGGGGTGGATGACGTTCTTGAAGCCGTAGTTCTCAGCGACCTCGCGGATCTTCTGGCCCTCACCACCGAGAACCAGGACAGTCTCATAGTACTCAGCCAATGCCTGCATTGGGGTGTGGGACTGAATGAACTGGTCGGTGGAGATGGGGCAGTCGAGGACCTCGGTGAGCTGCGCGCAGCGCGCCTCCTCGGTCTTACCACCACCGTTGGTCAGGAGGATGTAGGGGATCTTGATGCCCAGCTCGTTGTCGCCGTTCAGCATCTTGAGGGCCTCCTTGGCCTGGGGGATGGCGTGGTTACCGTGAGCCAAGACACCGTCGATGTCGAAGGCGAAAGCCATATTCTTGGCGGCGGCGACCTTCTCCTTGGACATGTCCTGGACCTGGGATGCCAGGATATCCCGGGAGACATCTCTCGTGACAACGGAGGACAACCGCGAGACACGGGGAGATCTGGGGATGGGAAGGGAGGTGCCGAAGGAGTTGCGAGAGGCACGACGATCCCGGGAAGAGGGAGCAAAGCTCAGGTTGTGCATGAACTGGGCAGCATCACTGATGGAGCTGCGGGTAGCGGGGACCTCGACAGTGTTGCCGGCGATGTCACCGGGGATGGGGAGGGAACCGCGAGACTCGCGGTGAGTAGGGGCAGGAGCAGTCGGGTCAACCCCTTCAGCGTCTTCGATGCGAGGCATGATGATGGATGAGTTTATTGACTGGTTTAGAGGCGGAGGAATTGAGTTTCGAGGTTGAAGAGCAAAAGAGCACCACCAGGGAGACTGAGGGGGGAGAGAGAATTTAAAGCGTAGATGATAAGAGACGGGGGAGATGATATCACTCCTATTATAAGATGAAAACCAGGGAATGAACTGAAGAGCTCTTCACCTGGAAGGAAGTGGTAGTGATGGAAGAAGATGAGAAGGATAGAAGGATGACGGAAGGAAAGAAGAAAAAGAGGAGGGCAGAGCTGGGATCATATATAACAAGCTTTGAAGAGCGATAGTGGCGGACCAGCCGAAGTCATTGTACTAGAAATGGGGGATGTTTCTGATGGATGGTTCAAGACTACGGACTACTACGTATGGAGTACACACAGTGCTGGTGGTGGTGGTGCTGGGATGGTACGGCGTACTGCAGCCGATACGTAGGAGGAATGATAGTGGAGTCGATGTTGGTGGTGATGGGTGCATGTTGCTGCTGCTTGCTGCTGCTGCTGCTGCTACTACTACTGCGGGTTACTGCTCTCCATCCGCCATCCGCAGTTGTTCGAACCCACAATCCGGGCTCCACCGGGGCGTATCATCATCCCTAGGAATTATCGTCATCACTCACACATGAATGGTGATTAGTGCTGATAGGGAGGAGCGGGGCCAGCGGAGTCAGAAGGGGATTTGCCATTGGTGAGCAGTCCGGTGGAGTCTTGGAAAGATCCATGGTAATCTTTCCACTCAAATACCACCCGGACCCTGTTTGGTACCATACCGCCCAGCGTGTCATTTCCCTGACAGGCAGGGAATCAGAAGTACCCAGGGGTACTGGGATGTACCGTACGGTATCAGGGTGAGGGATTTTGCTCCACCCTCATCACCGACACATCTGCAGGTCTGCAACAAGTCTGCAGTTCCTTTAAGGCTATCACTGACCATCACTGCCATCACCACACCACCTTCGACGGGCGGGGCGGAACAAGGCTCTCCTGTGGCATCACCGCCAACAACTAATTTCCACTGCAGGACGAACCCCCTAGATGCCTTAGACTAGTTCAGCAAAAAAGGGGGGGGGCAAGAGGATCCTCTTTTCCGACCGGCATGAAGCCACAATGCATGGCCAGTGGACAGGAGGGGGGCAGAACGGGCCCAGCAAGTGTCTTGGATGGGGGATAATTGGGTCAAGGTCAATACCCCCAGCCATGGGTGAGTCTGAGATCGGTGGAGCCGATGACGATCGAGCGGGCAGTAGCGGGTCTCAAAACGCTCGCGCCGTTTCGCTCTCAATTGTGAGCCGGTGATGTCATGGGGTTTTGGATTGGGATTGGTCTGAAATACGCAGTGGAGAGGGGAGGGGGGCAGGAAGAAGAGGAGCACTGGCAAGAGGAGGAAGAGGAGGGAAGCCCGAGGGTTTCATGACGGTTTCCACTGCGATGCCGTCATGTTGCCGGGTGAAGCTCGCTCCGGGAACCCAGAGAGGACAAGACGAGCTTCGGTGGAGGAGGAAGCTACCTAGTTACTTACCTTACTCATAGTATCCATCTAAGCTTGCTATGAATCTACTGCTATGAGCTCACAATGCCATTGCCCTCGAACCTCATTGCCAGAAGCTTCAGCAAACTCCATCGAACAATGTAGAACCCATCTGGACTCTGTAGAATAGCTCAGAAAAAAGGTTAATGTCATAGTTGAGAGCCAATGGCGAGGTGACAACCACGCCTCGCAGCATCATCCATCACCACCACAACCACCACCACCACCATAACCCCTCTTTAGACGCCCTCCTCCCCCACTTCCATCCTTCCTGTTCTACTCACCACAAACCACCACCAGTACCCAAACCACTTGTAGTCAGCTTTATTTGGCCTTTCCTCCCACGACCCCCGACCGAAGCCGGTTCTTCTTTCTTTCCCTCCCATCAATTGACTTTCCTCCCAACAACAACTACACCCACATCCACCACAAATCATCATCATGTCTTCTGGCAAAACTTTCACTCTGAGCAACGGCGTCAAGATCCCCGCCGTGGGTTTCGGTACCTTCGCCAGCGAGGGATCCAAGGGTGAGACCTACGACGCCGTCACTGCCGCCCTTAACATCGGCTACCGTCATCTCGACTGCGCCTGGTTCTACCTGAACGAGGACGAGGTTGGCCAGGCGGTCAAGGACTTCCTCAAGAAGAACCCCTCCGTCAAGCGCGAGGACATCTTCATCTGCACCAAGGTCTGGAACCACCTGCACCGCCCCGAAGATGTCGAGTGGTCGGTCAACAACTCCCTGGAGAAGCTCCAGCTCGACTACATTGACCTGTTCCTGGTCCACTGGCCCATTGCCGCCGAGAAGGAGACTCAGGAGAAGCCCAAGATCGGCCCTGATGGAAAGGTAGGATCCCATCCCTTGACCCCCCCTCCCTCCCTGGCAGCCCACAGACAACATCCCAGCTAACCAACCCTTCCAGTACGTCATCCTCAAGGACCTGACTGAGAACCCCGAGCCCACCTGGCGGGCGATGGAGAAGATCTACAAGGAGGGCAAGGTCAAGGCGATCGGAGTTTCCAACTGGACCATCGAGGGGCTCGAAAAGCTGCTCAAGTACGCCGATGTCAAGCCTCACGTCAACCAGATCGAGATCCACCCCTTCCTGCCCAACGAGGAGCTGGTCAAGTACTGCTCCGACCACGACATCCTGCCCGAGGCCTACTCGCCGCTGGGCTCGCAGAACCAGGTGCCCACGACGGGCGAGCGCGTCAGCGAGAACAAGACCCTGAACGAGATCGCCCAGAAGGGCAACAACACGCTGGCGCAGGTGCTGATCGCCTGGGGTATCCGCCGCGGCTACGTCGTCCTGCCCAAGAGCTCCAACCCCGCCCGCATCGAGTCCAACTTCAAGAGCATCGAGCTGTCCGATGAGGACTTCGAGGCGGTCAACAAGGTCGCCGAGGGCCGCCACTTCCGCTTCGTCAACATGAAGGATACCTTCGGCTACGACGTGTGGCCCCAGGAGACGGCCAAGAACCTGTCTGCTTAAGCGGTTTCCTGGCACGGAAGTAGAGACCAAGCGTTAATGATTTATGCGGGACATAAAAAAATGACGGAATGAGATAATCTTCTTATCAGCTAGACGACACAGAATTATGACCTTTTGTTGAAGATTTCGGACCAGAATTTAATTATTGTAAACCGTACAAAGTAAAGCATTGTAATTCACCCCTTCAATGGTCAACCCAGCAAGACAACGCAACAGCCCCCCCCCCCACCATCAAATCTCCCAAACTTGTAACAAATTAGTCAAGACAACTAACTAATCCTTTCCCCTCCCCTGCCCCCCAAGAAAACTAAAATCCGCACCACCCACCAATAACCTTGAAAACACGAGGTGCAACCTAAAGTCCACAAGAGCACATAGTACAGGAACAGTAATGCAATGCGACATCCGACACACGCACACACACCGCGCGCCGAAAGCAAAAACCAAACCGCTCGAAGCTCGGAGGACAGTCCTCCATGCAAGAGGAGAAAAAAAAAAAAAAACTAACCTCTGCGGGATGACGTCGTTTGCTGTCAATCACCGAGCACCCCAAAAAGAAAAACAAAAAAAAAAAAAAAAAAAGGTTGTGTAATGTGTAACTTAATGTGTAACCACTCAGTAAGCTTAGTACCTTACCAGGATTGGATTATTACTCGTGACGGATTGTGAAGAAAATCTTCTTGGGTGGTGCTTGTTGGTTTAAGCCTTTCTGCTTGATTCCCGACTCTAAAGTGGTGGTTGTAGCATGGGAAGTAGCGAGCTTACCGACAGCAACAGCAACAGCAACAGCACCAGCACCAGCAAGCAACTGAACGTCAACGTCAACACCCGATAGAGAGGGGGGTGTTGAAAGCCCCTCACTAAACCCATCCCAGCCTAGCATCCAATCTCCCAGAACGGGACTAGTTTTACCGGAGAATCCCGGAAAATCCCGGGAAACAACACCTGGCAACCCTCCCCCTCCCGGCCCGGTGGACAAATCCGGCAAAGCCCTAACCACCACCTCTGCACTCAGCTCAGCACTGCCTAGGCTCCTAGGCTCCGGGGCTCCTGGCCAAAAGTGGATCCCCCGCCCTGCGCCAGGTGCGGCTGCCCTAACCCTATCAATTTCACTTGGGTTTCGGTGGCTTGCAGTTCGGCATTCCAATTAGACCTAAACCAGGGGAACAACACAAAAAGGGGGCCCGGGGGGAGGGGGCAGGGAGATTAGTGACGTGGAAGATGTATACTGTGCATTGATTGGAATGAATGAGCCTGGAAAGGTTGGGTGTGTTTGATTAGAATTTGTATAGTGAGGCATTGAGGCATTAATGCTTCCGTACAATTACAAAAAACAAGTGGGGTGGTGGTTGCTTTGCTTATGATTCGTCGGGTTTGATGGATATCGATTAGAATAATTTCAGGTACACATTTAATGCTTTTCGTGGTGTTTATTGCACTGGTCTGTCTCTGCCTGTTTGGTTTGCTATCTACACCGTTTCTTTTGTCGACTCCCAGCATTCAGAATTCGGCCAAGTATGTCCTGCACATGGTCCAATCTCGTCATCTTTCCGATGCTGATAGCCATAGATAGCCCGTTCCATTGAGCTAGGATGGAGACCGAAAACACGGTCAACATGAGTAAGCGGCGTTGTTTCCAATCCAACAGTCTCCATACAGTATCTCCGTCCGTCCAACGAACCAAACAGAAATCGACCAACCGGGTTCTCCGAGTTCCGACACGATATCTCAATTTCAACAACCAAACAACAACGACAACAAGTGCAACGTCCGTTAGATGGGGTTCCCACAATGTAGGCAACCGGTTCTGTCGCTGATGTCCACCAACATCCTAACCAATCACGACAGAACTAATCTCCCGTACCCTCGATGATAATCACAAAAGAACTACTAGTGTTGTACCCGACTGAACCCATCCGACTACTGCGATATCCATTTCCGTGTACCTCAGTGAAGGTAAGTAGGGTTTCAAGCGAGGAGCGCGGCGGGGGTAGGAGGGAAATAAAAACTGGAGATCCTCGTTTTGCGCGATTATTATTGTCTTGCTACGTAGTAAATCCGAACTCGAAGAATCATGTTTTCTCGGCAGTTGCGGTAAATCTCAGATTTTCGGATGGATTGGTTCTCTGCTACGGTTAATCCGTATGGTATTCTGTTTATGTTTAGGTCAATCGTGCTGGATAACTATGGTCATAGGTGGATGGTTGTTGATGCCAAACCTATCCGAAGTAGTAACTATACTTCCTTGCCTGGCGGATAAGCCAGGCCCTACCGGGCTACAGTACTCCCTTTCATTTTACCAATTGCCTTGGACATAATGTAGCGATCTCTCTCGCCAGGTGCTGCGCACATCTCAAGAGAGAAAGCTGCATGCACGTAGCCTTACAATCCAGCCCCCTTACTTCGTGGCTTGACACCCGCAGGAGGGACCGTTGGTCCGAATTTGGATATCTCATTAAAGTTAAGGTGTGCTGTAGTCTGCAGCCTGTAAGTCGGTAAGTCAGTAGCTAGCTTTAGCGGTGGTCTGACTCAAGTTGGAAACGCAAATGACGGCCAAGGCAATGCCACATATGTCCATGTACATGTATATCTGGAAAGGGTTGCAGCAGCCGTGCAGAGGATTGTATCATCGTGCAGGGCATGTCGCGTGCGGGTGTTCTGCTTTCTGATATCGGTCTGAGGCTCTGTTGTGACTAGGGGTTGGTCAGTTGGGCTGAGGGTGAGTGGAGGATTCTCTATCTGCTCTTCGGCTCATTCCAGTCGAGTATACTCTGGTTTCATCTGTACGAGCCGCGTGGGTATTCAAGGATATACATGCTATCGTTCTCAGTAGTATGCGCGTTCATGAACCGGCGAACTTCAGGGCATCCAATCGGCCCCGCTTTCAGCTAAAGAGTTCTTTCTTGTCTTGTCCAGGCTGCCCGAAATCTCAGCGTATGATTTCCCGCGTTACTTCTTCCTTGTTCTCTCGTTATTTGAATCGACAACTTCTGTAGATCTCAGACACATGGATTAGTCTCGACCTCGAGCAGCGATCTATGCAAGAAGTACAGTGCTACACCCACAAGCAAAAACGGGGGAGGACGAACCTTGACCATAGAATCTCTCCAGTCTCGCTCCTAGATATTTTTTCATACCTGCGACACTTCGTAGTGCAGATCTACCGAACATGTATACTATTTTTTGACTACTAAGATAAACCTAAGACCATCGAATGACGTCCGACAAAATGACAAGGTAGACAGGCAGACAATAATGAAGAACAAGGATGTTATCAATTCTCTACATCTACGAGGATCGGCTCACGCCTTCTGTCTCCATAGCCTTCTATACTATGCTATAGTTGCTAGGTAGGCGATAAAATCATGTGAAGGTGAAGTCAATCAACAAAAGTATAAGTTTTTGTGTAGTAGTAGGAGCTAAAATTGGATAATGTCTGCTACTTGGTCCTTTCTGTGAGTTGGAAAGAAGATCTACCAGATACTGTACCTTACTATCCCTGATCAGGATGAAACTCATTCCTGGAAGAAAATGTAATTCCTGATAGCTGTTTAGTGTTGACGCTCAGGGCCGGCTACATTGACGGGAAATTATATACAGCGGATATCCCAGAACAGCGTCTTCAGGGGCAAGACATGCGGCTCGTAGATAGAAGAAATCAGAAACCCTATCCTTTATAAGACTCAGGACTTTATCAATCTAAAGGCATAAATTTGAGATTCGAGAAGTGCACGCTGCATAAGAGCTTGCATCCTAAGCGACGGTCACATGACCAAGTAACTGTGCTGTACCCGGGTGCAGGAGCATACGTATGCCTGAGGCACCAAGTCCACTTCCCGAGGCATACACTTAAGGCTCTAGGTCGAGAACATCCGCACCGTATAGATGAGACAAACTCAACACGTGCACTCAAACCGGAAAGACTAGCAGTATGTAATATTGAGTACCCGAATAAACGAGATAACACCCCAAGCGCCTATCCTATGCATCCAGTAAGAAAACCCACGCCATACATGCTAGTATGTTATGTACAAATAATCAAACAATCACACACGACCCCCTGCGCCTCCACGGCCCTCACGAGCGTGAGCGAATCCGTCTGGCAATCGGCGTCGATCCCGCATTGACCTTCAGCAGACTCGTCTTCGTGCTACTGCTGCGGAGTGATGTCTTGCTGCTGCGGCTCGTCATGCTGGCAGTGGCACTGCTCTCCTTGGACGGGGTCTCGAGCGTCTTTCTGGGGGACTTGGGGATCAACTTCTTGCGTTGACCAAGGGGGCTATCGTTGCCGGAAGATGCAGACGACGAGGTAGGAGAAGAAGTGGGAGCAGCAGCAGCAGCAGCAGCAACGGCAACAGCAACAGCAGTAGCGACGGCTGTGGTTTCGGGCGCTCCGCGCACGCGCCGCGCCCGCGGTGTTGCAGTAGCGGGCGCAGTAGTCGCTGCATCGGGCCCCGTCTCACCACCAATCTTCTGCCCCGTCTGCGACCGAGTCGTGCGGCCACTGGCTGCCTTTCTTTTCATATCGGAGGGTTTGTCCGTGCTGCGCTGATGCGTTACCCCACGGCCCACACCAGCGACGTCATGTTTGTGACCGGTCGCATTGGCGTCTTCACCTTCGAACTCCACGAGTCGGTTATTGTTCCAAGACACATGTTTCTTGGCCTTTGCAGTTTCTGCGGCAACTGGAGCAGGACTGGCTTTATCGTCACCGATTGGGGTGGTGTAGCTTTTGTGAATTTGGAGAACATGCAGTGTCTGCTTTGGCATGGTGGAGCTGCCTTTGTTGAACCGCGTATTGCGTTTCGTGGCCAGAGCGAGCTCCTGGGCCTCGGTCCGCTGGAGGAAGACAAATTCGTTGCCCTTGGCACGGCGGAGGGCGAAGGTGCTGCGCACTGCAGCCGCCACGGTAGAGGGGCGTACCGGTGGGGCACGCGGACGTGTGCTACGACGCGGGCTGCCGATTTCTTGATTCTCGTTCTCGAGCGACTTGGTGGGTGATACCCGCTGCGGTTTTTGCGGCGAGGGCGAGTTGGCGTCGAGATCCTCCAACGCGCGCCGCGACGGCGGAGTCGGCATCTCGACCGGTGACGTTTCCTGCATCTTCTTGGCTTCATCCTCCTTCTCGACCGACACGGCCTTCTTTGCGACCATCTCTGCGGCCTCAGCAGCTTCTATCTCAGCAGCAACCTCGGTCTCAGCGGCAGCGGCAGCAGCCTTGGCGTCACGCTTGGCCTGGGCCTTGGAGAGGAAGTTGCTCAGTAGTTCGGCGTCCTCTCCGCCCAACGAACTGCGCAAAGCTGACCGCACAATAGTCGACTCCTGCTCGACGGTAATATCGGGGACGATAGCAGGGACCTCCGGATTCGAGTCCAGCTTCGTCGCGCTCAGCAGGACCTCCTTGATCGTAGCAGCGGCATCACCATCATCATTACTGTCTTCCTCCGCAGTATTTGTAGTAGGCGAATCAGTATGTGACCCTCCGACAACCGGACTAAACACAGTAAACGGCGAAGCATGACTGATCTCGTGCCCTTTTATGTTTGTTATGTCCCCGTCCAAACCGGGGGACAAACCCTCCGAATCGCCAGGTAGCGTGCGGGGGTAGGGCGCACCGGGCACCAACTTCGTAGGGGTCTCCGGGAGGCCACCCGTCGCTAATTCGTCCGGCTCGCTGATAACAAGGTTCTCGTGCATCGACGTGGACGCGTCTCGCTCGTCGCTGGTACTCTCGATATTGTCATGTGGCTGAAGAAGACTGTCCGTCGCCATCGGTTCATCGGGAAGGTCCACAAACTCGCTGTAAACAAGTGGCAGCTTGCCTGATCATCGTTAATTCCTCCGTGAAACATGACGTCTTCCGCTTGCCAAGAAAGAAAAGCATATAATAGCCCCCAAAGCCCAAGGTAGAGAACTTACGTCGTCGCCCCTTTGAATCAGACTCCCACTGTGTTTCCAGGAATGACCTCCCTCGTGAGTTTCCGCTGGCAAGGTCATCCGGGTCCAGCGCGAAGCATCTCCGCTTGACTCCGCGGACGAGTCCCAGATGCCTCGTGCTGTTGATCTCGAGCTGGAGCTCCTCGTCGATCGCGTGCCGCTCGCCGACGGTGATCTGCTGCAGAGCTTTCATGCTGTTGAACGAGGAGCGGAAGCGCTTCCAGACTTTGCGCGACCGGCCGCGTGCGCGAAACGACGTGGATGGCTTGCGGTCCCAGACGTGCGGAGCTGATCGGGTGAGGGTTTTGGTCGGGGTGAACCCGAACTTGGTGTTCTGAGGAAGCTTAAGATGCGGGGGGCTATTCAAGGTCGCATGTTAGAGATTTGGTGGCGATGGGGTTTCCACGCAAGTGATGAAGGAAGATCAAGGTAGAAGGAGGGAGGAGATGCAAGAAAGGGGCCCAGGCCGGAGTGAGTGAGCCAGTGCTGGCCTGTCTTGGATCGACATTGCAACTCTCATCGAGGGGAGCTGCTGATCCTGACACGAAGAAGATAAGAGTTTCTCCACGTACCATAACGGTTGGAATGTGACGGACGGACAGACAAAGTCCTCCATCTTGATGGTCGCGACCGAGTTGGAATGTGCGGCGTGTTTTGACGTCAAGGAGCGGGTAGAAGGAGCGATACGACGGTGGATAACGGGGTAGAAGATACACCACTATGAGACTGATTGAAATGAGGCGTCCGAGTCGCGTCAGTTGTCGGGATGCGATAGCAATAAATAAATGGCGCGATAGTCTAAGAGCAGAGTTTCAGAGCAGAGCTGGCTGCAATGGAAATGGATAAGTTATTGGTTGGACCGGGGAGGGCGAGCCACCGGGCTGTTTTGGCGGTGATCGCGTTGCTGGGCCAACCAGCCTACAGCCCATTCACTGCACCATCAAGCACTTCAGCCTAGACTCTACAAACGCCGAGGTACTCTATTCTTAGTGCACCCCTGTCCAAATCTCGAGCCACAATATCGAGGTGAAGAATACCGAATGCTATTCTATGATTGGCTAAATGCAAATCAAGCTCGTAAACGTGTAATCATCGCGGTTCCATCAAAAATTCCGCCCCGCTCAGAACAAGAAGATCACCCAACACCCAAAACTCCAGTCTCCACGCTGTTCATTGGCTTTGATGCAAGACATTTTTCGCAAATAGACCGCCTCCCCCGTCTAGAGCCCTTGCTCCATATCTCTCTCATCGAACGGATCGCCGAACTCCGCTGCAAACGCTATGCATCAGTTATCACGTTCAAAACCGCAGACCCCATTGATCCCGTAGAATACCCGGCCAGATGTATTGGAACGTACCCAAGCTGAAGTCTTGATCGATGACAAATTCCATTGCTCGTTGGTATTCCTCCTCCGCCCGCTTGTTCATCCACGACGCCACCGGGGCGGACTGCGGGTCGCCCTGGGAGAGAAGACCCTGAGCTGCCAACGGCGAGGCGATCGGCCCCCCGGGACCGTGAGACTTTCCGGGGCCCTCGAAGGCGCTGCTCTGGGTCTGCGAGCCGGGCGGGGACAGTTCGGAGCCGTCGAAATGAGGAATGTGGGTTGGGAGCTTGTTGGTCGGGGTGCGGGTGCCCGGGTTGGAGTCGTCGGAGGCCAAGGGGGAGGACTCTGGCGAAGAGGCCATCTGGGAATCGCCGTCTCGGTCTGCAGAGACAGTCAGTATGCAGCAGCGGAAGTTGGCTGGGTTGAAATTCGGGATGCTCGAGCTGGGAAGCGGGGCCAAGCCAGCAACCCCGGCGTGAGGCGGAGGCTCGAGATGGGGACTGACCGAGGTTCATGGTGAGGTCTGTGGTGTGGCTGGCGGAGAATTCGAATCGTAGTCTGCTGTACGCTCGGTAGAGATTAGGGAGCGTAAGGGAGTAGGTAGAGGAGCGCTAGTGGTGGGTGGTTGTCGGAGGGCGTCTTCGTAGTATGAATGGGTAGTGATGATGGAGGACGATAGTGCGGGCGGGCTCCGGAGACTATTGGAGGATCTTAGTTAAGCAATCCTTCCTTTCCCACCTCAGCATTGCTGTTCTCCTCTCTCTCTTTGAGTCTGCTCCTCTTTCCCCTCTTTCTAAACCAACACTCAGCTCCTTTTCTACTTATATATTCGTATATCACTGAACAAACAGCAAACCTCGTGTCAACTCACATTACATCCTCAAATTCCCATCCCCCACACCGCTGCAGCAAATTATTGCCCAAATCGCTTTCGATCCGCCCTCCTCCACCGAACAACAATATACTGCCATGAGCGCAAAGTCCTCAACAGGCCCCGATGCATGGGCGGAAAATTGGGAAGAACAGGCTGATGTACGTCTAGACCTTATCTTCGAATTCTAGGCCCATGTTGCTGTCTCCCCATTGCAGGGACCCCCTCTCCTCCACTTTCAGATCGCTGATATTTTCAAAAATTTTCCCCAGAAACTCGTGGCCGACACCACCCCACCCCCGGCGGCGGAAAAGAAAGTCTCCTCCAAAGTGACCAAAGCGCAGCGCAGAGCCCAACAGGCTGAGTTCAATCGACAATTATGGGCGGAAGCGTAAGCCTCTCCCCATCTCCGAAAAAAAAAATCATAATGACATCGTCCTAACACGTACTTTTTTTTATCCTGTTGATGTGTAGCGAATCTCCTCAGACATTCCATTTCCTCGAAGCGCGCTCCGATGTGCCCCTACGCCAAGAATTCAAGCCCGCAGTTACAGTACTCAGTCGGAATCCTCAGATAGCGACGCGCGGTTCCGGGCTGAATGGGGCCACGGCGGGAATGTCCCGTTTGGGGCTGAATGATGACGACTCGGAGGATGACGGCAGGGCTGCTCTGCCCTCCGCCGAGGAACGCCAAGCGATGGCGCTGCGCAATTTGGAGGACAGGCAGCGCAAATACGAAGAGGTGCGAGAGCGCCTGTTCGGCAGTCCCTCCGCTCCCACATCGGGGGCGTCGTCCCCGCGCAGTGCCACGCCTCCGACGAAACCGTACGAGGGACGCGGAAAAGGTAGAGGTCGTGGTAATGGACGGGACAACAGCTCCAACAGCAGCAAACGCGACTCTTCAGCGGCGTCCGGGAAATCCGGGCAGCTGTATGACCCGGACTCTCCTCGAACGAATCCCGGCTACAATTCTCGGAGAGAGAAACAGCCCGCAGGTCGGACTAATACCGACGGTACCCAGTCGCCCCGACAGCCAATCCGCAGCCCCCGGGGACCCGATAGCAGTGGTCGAGGTGGTTTCCGAGGTGGTTTTCGAGGGGGTCGAGGTGGTTAATCTACGTGCACTATCTATGATACGGCATACAATCCCTCCGCCCGAACAGGGCAACACAAATCCGAACGGTTGGCCATGCGACGCCAGGTTCAACCACAAAGTTCTCCATTAACTCGCTTGATTAGTCTGCGAACATCTATCGCATACTACGGGAGCCCTCGTCCAGAATTAATCGCGTTGGCCAACTGTGATGTGTTGGGCCGGTTTTCTGGAGGTGTCAGCAGATCATCAGCTCGGACAGGGCACGAATACCTACCCGCGTATCGCTCATAACTATCCAGGTAAAGGCCATCATCGCTGGTGGTCGCCGCGACGTGGGGATCTTTCTCGATCGCGTCAACCCACGCGCCCCATCGGCTACCCGCTTCTGGCTCTGGCCAGCCGCGATACGGCTTCAGCACGCGTCGGAGCCGGATGATCCACGGCGCAACCTGTACGTCGACGAAGGAAAGCTTGTCGCCCAGGAAGAACGGACCCTCGGTATGGGCCGCGCCAATCAGAGTATTGAACGAGTCGCGAAGTTCTTCTGCATGCGAGATCTGTTTCTCTTGATCCTGTGCTTGGAGAACGCGGTAAAAGGTAGGTACAATGTGGCGATTTACCTGTCTTGGTTAGGTGGAATGGTCTCATTTTGGACTTTTGCACATACATAATCAGCCCACAGTCGACAATGTGCTCGAAGTTTTGGGTCCCTGGGGGGCAGCAGCGGAGGGCCGGCGTTCAAGTCTTCCAACTAGAGGCGTGTCAGAAAGGGCCGGCGGGGTCTGAAGCCGACCACTTACGTATTCGAGCAGGACGGTGCTCTCGTGCGAACTCCAGTCCCCGTGGCGCAAGGCAGGAACCAGGCCCCTGGGGTTGACTTCAAGCAGAGATTGGGGCTTCTTGTAAGGGTCGACTTCGATATACTGGTACGGGATGCCCTTGAACTGCAGAGCGATCCATACGCGCTGGACAAAGGGACTGCAGAAGATGGTCAGCAACATGAGCCGGCGGGTTACAGCGAACCATCTCACCAAAAGCAACTACCAAACAATTTCAGATCGTTGTCTGCCGAGTGATCTGCAACGGTCTCAGCCGCGAACCCGGTAGCTTTGGTGTGGTACGACTTCTGTGGTTGGTTCTGGTTAGACATGGTTCGCGTCTGTAGACGACCGGCGTTAGAACGGAGATATGCTGATGGAGCGTGTACAATTGGCGGTTGAGCTTGAGCGATCAGACCCTTCCACAAACAAGGACTCGTCTGCCAGAAAGATCGAAGGAACATAGCGCAAGAGGAAAACTTATGGAGGAAAAAGAAGAAGGGGAAGCGGGGAAACGCGTGCGGTGGGCTTCTTCGTCCCGCCGCACCTGTGACGTAACCCCCATCAACACCACCGCCCACCGACAGTAGTGGAACATAGAGAACTAAATCGATGGAAAGGGCGTCTTGGAACTTACCGGGACAGCCTTCTTCCTTTCTTGCCTCGCCTCCTTCAACAGAAACCGCTGCACACTATTCTTCTTCACGCGATCACTTTCTTCCAATGTATGCCGATGCCCCCCACCAACCCCATCATTCTTCCCGTTCGCCCCGTTCCCATTCACCCGTTGGATGGTAAAGAACCGCTGCCCCTGCAAACCAGGATGCCCCTCAGGCAACAGCACATTTGAGTTCGGCGTGAGCATCCCAAATTGATGATTATAATTAAACCCGGAGACTCCCTCCATCCGCTCACCAGCAGTAGCAGCAGTAGTAGCAGCAGCAGCAGCAGCAGCAGCAGAAGCCGAACCGTCCCCCTCCCCAATCGACAAACCCTCCCCATCAACCCCCTCCCCCTCCCTCACCCGCCCATCACTCTCCCCCATCCCCGTCCCCGACTGAGGAAAATACTCAGTGATCTTGATCTTGACATCGCACAGATCCCGCTCGCGGGCCGTGCGCTTTCGCTTCTTCTTATTGGGGTCGGTGGACTTGGGCGTGCCCGGCGGGCGGCCCTTAAGCCGGCAGTCCCAGTAGTGCGAGACGAGGGGCTTGCGCTTGTAGTGCTGCGTCGAGCGGTGGGAGTAGACGTTGTCGATGTGCGGGAAGTAGGTGAGGAATCTGCTCGTCGGTCTTGGGGTTTAGTATAGTACGTAGATTTGGCGTTCGATTGGTAGATGCGCGGTGAAGAGGGGGGAGAGGGGGTCTTGGATGGGAAGAACGCACTGTTCCTCACTAAGGACGATCAGCTCATCTACATTGAAGAGGCGCGTGCGCCAGAGGTCGAGGTCGGGGGGAGAGAGAATGGTGCGGATGTCGAGGGGCTGGCACTGCGTGTGGAGTTGGGATTGGGGTTGGTGCGGAGTCGAGTTGGAGGGTCCGGGGGAGCAGTGGGAGTCACCTGCTGGAGGAATGGTCTGTCGGTGCGTGGTATGCTGTTGGTGGTTGTGATGGAAGTTTGGGTTGGGAGAGGTGAATTGGTGGGTTTGTTGATGATGCTGTGGATGTTGTGATGCAGCTAGGGTGGATGCGTCTGCGGCGACAGAGGGAAGGGAAGGTGCGAGGTAGGTTGGATGTGGAGTGGAGCGTTGTAGATTACCGGACGAGATGCAGAGGGAATTGTCCATAATGATAAAGCAGCCAGCTCGTATGTTATACTGTATAGATAGTGGATGCGATTTAGATGGATGGACAGGCGAAGAACGCTGCTTTAATCGGGGCGGGGAGGAAAAGAGGCTGGGGTTTGAAGCGGCGGGCGGTGAGTGGAGCACCGCCCCCGCTTCTTTATTGGTGTCGATCCCGCCTTTAAGTTGCCAGTCGTAGCATACCACACGAATCGGGAAACGCTTCACTTTGCCCCGAGTCACTGCTACATTCCACGGTGCAGATCGCCAAATTTTAATGTTTATTGAGCTCCCCAAAAGAGCATCATGTGGCTTCGCAACCCCAAAAAATGAATCCGTCACTGCTGTAGTCCGTCTAACAGTGTCGAGGTCTAAAGTCTCCTCCTTGTACCTCGCGTCCCCAAATACAACCTCTCATCATGACAGTGAGACCGACCTCATGATAGTGCCACCACGGACACCTCACAGCAAGCACCAAGCAATCAAGTCTGCCCGCTCACCCCCGGAAGCAAATTCTCACTCTCCCACAGATCAAGATCGAACAACAGCCCCGACCGTGCCCAGTCCCCTTCGGACCACAAGGGCTCAGCCCAGGGATCATAACCCACCGCGTCTGGTATTCCCCGCAGTACTGGAACCACATCCTCAGCCCCATCCTCTCTCGCCAAATATGCCAGCTCATTCGCCATCAACCCCGCAAACTCTTTCGATGGTAGCCAACGACACGCGACTAACTTCAGTAACCGGATCGCGCGGAGCGCCCACACCCACGCAGTACTCATCTGGTAAAGGCCGTGCATGATGTACAGGAAGTGCTTCTTTGCTCGGGTCTTCACGCCGGGACTCGGGAGGGTCCAATTGCACAGGTGAATGAGGCCTGCGGTGAGGCAGGGGTGAATGATGGAGATGGTGGCGGTTCTCTTTGGGGAGCGTTGCATCAGCTATTCATTCTTGTTGTGGGTGGACTGGACTGAAGGACATGGCAGCCAGCTTACCAGGGCATAATGCCTTTCAACTTCTTTCAATATCGCCGTCAATGCTTCGGCGGATCGGGTGCATTCTTCGAGATGCGAGGAATCGGCGCCCTTTTGATCATCGGTCTGTGGGGAGGTTGCCTGTCGTGAGATGAACGGACGATGGAGGAGGATGTTCAGGCCGTGGTAATGGATACTGCTCGCCCATTAGTTTCGAAAAGAGTCTTCATACAGTGGAAATGAAGGGACGTACTGGAGGTAATAGATATGCACGGCCAAGGGACCACCCAAGCCAGAGGACGGGAGTCGAATGACACTTGGGATCCGATCGTAGAACGCCGATAGCGCTATCGAGGCCTTCAAGACGATATCCGCTTTGTTCTCTCGTGTGATCTTCGGGCTGAGTGAGTAGCTATCGAGACATGAGCTGTATTCCACATGGATTTCGTTCTCCGTCTTGACGGCTCACATTTCGTCCAAGGGACCAGTGACCAGCCTGAGCATTTCGCATATATACCGGAAATTTGTGATGGAGTAGCCGATAGGCAGATGCTGAGCTGTTGATGGCTTCAAGGATTCTTCCAGGCCCTTGAATTCGACAACAGGTAAGATGGTGGGTAAAGGGGCGTGAATGTCCCGGTCGATGCATGCGCTCGGCCGACCTAACGCAAGGCTGTAAAACCTGCTCGCTTTGAGTCAGTGCAACGCCAAAGATAAAACGGCTCAATAAAGCAATTCAGTTGACAATTGACTGAAGACAGCTCACTTCTCAATCAAATAGCACCCCCACCAAGCAACCGACCGAATCTCCGCATCTTCGGCCGTAAGACGACCAGATTCCACCCACGGACGAGAATCCGTGTGAAGACCCAAGGTATATGCCATTCGCACAGCCATTCCTAAGAGCCATCAGTGGGATTCAACACAGTCAGGATTAGAGGCCAGCCCACCAATATACGTCCACCCAGCCGGCTCGATATCCAACGCCAACTCCGCCACCGAGATCAACACAGCGGCTACCACCGTCGCCACCCGGGGCGCCTCAATCTCTTCAAAGATAAGCTGCTTTGCCTCAGCAGCAAAGGTAATTCCCGCCGTATACTTGCCGAAATCGTGAGAAAGCGTGGGCTCATCCGAGTAACGCGCCGCCACCGCCAGCATCGCATACAGCAGGGTCGGGGTACAGTAATCATTATCCCGGCGTTCATAGCTCCGACGCCAGGCGCTTTCATGCAACAGATACTGCCAGGGATTCTGCCACCGCCAGAAGAGATCTAACAGCGTCTTCTGGATCGCGGGGTCTACGTCGATCTCCCCGACGCCGGGCCGCTGCGTTCGATCGGCGGAGAACTTCAGCAGGTGGTCGTGGCACCGTTCATCGAGCTGCTCGGACACCAAGGCGAGATTGCTGCGCGAGTCGAAGAAGCGCAGTTCCTCGCCTTCCCCGAGACTCAACCCGCCGCAGAGGTCGACGAGTTCCTGGACCGAGTCTTGCGGGATGGAGCCGTTGGGCGAATGATGGTTTTGTGGTTGAAGTGGAGCGGAGGCCCGGGAGGGCGTTTCTCGTCCTTCGTACTGTGCGACTTGTCGTTCTAGGCTTTCTATGCGCGAAAGTAAGGATTGGATGTAGCGCTTGCTTGGTGGTCTGCCAGTTTTGTCAGACGTTGTTTGCTACATCGATGATTGAATATGGTGGGTGATGATGTACTTGCGCTTTTCCTCGGAGTGTAGGTATTCGCAGGATTCCGTAAGTCTAGCGCATCTAGAACACGATGGCTTCGCTCCATCGCACTAGGAATCGTTTAGGGATCTTCCGTAGTCGGACAATGGCGATACTGACTTTGACACGTCTCTTTCGACATGCTTGACATGCTATTGATACGCGCTGACGGGAGGTCATCATGCATGCGCTCTGATCTAACTAGTGGATGCGACGAAAATTCGCAAAATGAAATGCCATTGATCCCCCGTTCGGTGGGTAGACGTCGTCACATAGGTAACATTCAGTGATTGCAGTGCAGTGGTCTGTCTGACGATGTGCCACAGTGGGGTAAAGCCAGCGGGAAGCTGCGGTTGAGATTCCCACGGATGGCGGATGATGCCCTTCCGCTCTTCTCTCAAACCTTACTGATGATCCACCCCGACCCAATCTTCCTCAATCCTCAGTAAACCCTCTCCACCACCCATCCCAGCTTTCCATCCCGTCGCGCCTCACGCTCCTCAAAAAAGGGCTTGAACACCGAAGCAACCACCGTATCCGCGTCGAATTTCGGCTGATATCCTTCAGTGCCCGGGCTCACTACCCGCCCCGAAATCAGCGGCATCCCCACCAGGATCTTGGCTTTATCCGGCAAAGCCGCGGCGAACAGGCGACTGAGTGTCTGCGACGCCGCCTTCACGGAGGATAGCGAGGCGAAGATCGGCTGCGGCTCCTTGTCCAGAATGCCACCCGTAACAAGAAAGAGCGGCCATTCGCCCTGGGCCACGCGATCGACCCGGGCGCGGTTGCACTCCGCGAACCACTGACCGGCCACCAACGTACCGACAGCGGAGACTTTGAAGTCTTCTTGCAGCTCCTCTGGTGACGTGGTAGTAATATCCGTGACGGTGACGCGGGCCGCGTTGTAGCACAGGACGTCCAACGGGCCTCCGAGCTCCTGGAGGCACCACTCGAGCGCTGCCTTCAGGCTTGATGGTTCGCCAGCATCGGCCGTGCGGTAGAGAACTTTGGCTGAGGGGGTTTTCTGCGCTTCGCGCACTTCCGAGGCGATGGCTGACAGGCTCTGCTCGGAGCGGGATACTAGGGCAATGTTCCACCCTAGGCTTGCTAGCCAGAGGGCCAGGGACTTGGACATGAGGGAGCCAACGCCCACGATGATGATGTTGCGGTTTTCGCTGATGGTCATATTGGTGCTGGGCAAAAGGTAGAATCTGAGCTTGTAGTTTGGCTCCTGTGAAACAAGATTGTCTGGTGCAGTGTTCGATGAATGTGTTCCTGAGTGAGGTTCAGAAAACGAAGGGTTGGGAGGCCCGAGTCTCTCTATATACTCCGGTGCGGACACTTCTATCCGCGGTCTGGTGAGCAAATATTCAAAATCCCCTGTCTATGGTCGGGAACTTTTGTCATCAAGAATATTGATAACTATCCTTCCGGTGAGTTGTGCTTCGTAATCTCAAGATCCACAATGATCATGACTTATCCTCAAACAAACCAATGGAACACAGATGACCGAGAGCGCGGAAGAGCATTACCCGGGCCAGCAAATTCCGCGTCCCCCGGACCCGAGGCCCAAGATCCTCAAGATCCAAGACTTAGATAAACTTCGTAGCAGCCTCTCATATTCTAGTATCAATTCAGTAAGTTCTTTCCTTTCACAACATGGCCTTCCTACATTTAGTCCTCTTCCGATTCAAACCCGAGATCCCTCGAGGCCGTCGGCAAGCCGTAAGACTTCTATGGACCCACCCATGACCTCTTCTAACACATGCCAGATTCTCCACGAGTTCAAGGGTCTTCCTCAAAAGTGCAAGGATCAGTCGGGAAGATTGTATATCCGGAGTATACGAGGCGGGGTGGAATGTACCCCAGGAGTGTCTTCAGTATGGTGCCATTGTGTCCAGTGTCGCATTCACACCGGTACTAATATCTGTTGTAGGATACCAGCCACGTCTTCATCGTCGAGTTTGGCTCTCTGCAGGACCGCGAATTCTATAAGAATGTGGATACTATTCATGCTGAGTTTGCTTCGCGAATCATTCCGCTCGTGAGCTTGACGACTATGGCCGTGTTTGAGGAAAGCGACTTCGCTGATTTATAGAACATTTTGAAAATCTGCAAGGAAATGGATTGGAACCATTGAAAATGATATATGAGTCGTGAAAAATAAGATATTCGAGGGGGCGAATATGAAGCTAGTGAGATGTGCTGAAGCTGAAGGGCGAACTGCAGCATACTACGTTGACAGGCATACTGTACAGTTCGTAGAAGCGGTCGCTGTTATGCTATCGCTACCGATAACAAGATTCTTGTGATCTATCAAGCCGTAGCCAATCAAGTGATCCCGAACACAAAATCCCGGCTAGTCATGCAGGATCGAGATGATCAGTGCCCAAGGCCGCGCTCTTCAATTCCTCGAATTTGGCTTCGGGCAGGTTGAGCGTCGCACGGAGGGCCTTGATCTCCCAAATTATAACTGCTTCCTGCCAGATGGTTGCGTCCTCGTCGAAGTCTGCCAGAGCTGTTTCAGCCTGAGTAATCCAGTCCGGGATCAGTTCAAGGACATTTTTCTTGATGTCATGTTTCGTCTTGAACTCTGACAACGCGTCGCAGGCTTCGAGATCGTTCTTAGGAATGTTCTTGCCATACTGGCTGACAATACGATGGAGTTTTGATTTGATCTGTAGCTGGCAAAAGACATGGATTATCGAGTTATCGTAGACCATGCCATGCCTGTATGTGTGGGAGTTACCCTGCATCCAACCAAAAGCAAGTTTTGGAAGTTTCAGTTCGACCTATGTGGGAGGCAGGGCCGAGGAGCGAAGTACTGAGAAAGTAGATCAGCAGAGACCGGGCAGTAACAAATCTGAAAATGGATGTCCCCTCAGTCACATCATAGTTGGGGTAATCTGAGGCAACCGTGATTTGTTCGGGCGCCCAAAAGAGGGGTTCATCTCATTGATTTGGGCAACATCAGTGGCTGCAGCGATGACCCTGCGGGAGAATCAAAACGCGGCGACTTAATTATCTACCACTTGCTCATTAGAATGACTGTATGTGGATTCTCTGGTCATACAAAAATGGACGAATATGATCGAGGACGGCTGTTCTTAGTCTACAGCAAGGGACTGAGACCCGAGAACCTGCGACTCGGTAGTCTTTGTCTTGACCCCGCAAGCCCTGTGGGTGATTCACGAAAAACATGCCGATGTGCAATCAAGTGAGTGCCAATCTTTTGTGGTTGAGACTGAATCGGGCCAAGCGCAGAGTTGATTCGTGATAGGGACGCGGAACTGTCGCCATGGATAAGCAGCTCTGGTGATGAGATCAACTGCACCTTGAATCTGAGTGCTTCACGTGAATGGCTTGCGGGCGCGAACAGCCTCGATATTATTACTCAGGGGACTGGTGAGGATAGCAATATTGAGGTCCGACTCGAGGGACAGCAGAGTCGACGAGTAACGATTCAAAGGTAAAACAATACCCGCAAACAATTCCTCTGTGTATTGACATCCTCGACCCAATCAGACCAGAGTTGTTCCTCGAACAAGTAATCCTACCGTCAGCAGAGGCAAAGCGATGGCTCGCTACGCAATTGACGGTCTCGCGCACTATGCACTACCTCAGCCGCGCCATACTTGGCACTGCTCGTCAACCCCAGATATGGTTGTTGACGGGGCTTCAGTACATCAGACAGGCTCGTATAGAGGCTGGTTGGTTGCATTCGCCTCATGTATTAACGGGAATTCCTGGGCCAACTCTGGATCCCACGGTGGCTGCACTGACCGGTTTATCCGATGCAGGTGACCAGGAGCTGCACATGGGCATCGAGACAGGAAGATCGACAGGTGACGACCTCGAGGACAAGATCTGGGCCGCCCAGTTCATGGAATTGAAAGTGAAATATCGTCCTCGCGAGTCGACTACTGCCAAAGTCCCGGAAGAGATTCAACTGCATCGGTTCAGTCCGCTGGGTGGAATGGGGTTTCAAGGCCATGAACATGTCCCGAGCCAGGAGATTGCAACAATCGAAGGTCTGTCGGTGCAATATGGATATGATGGGCAGAATGGAGATGGAGCATTTTTTGGAATGGAATGCGAGGATTGTATACTTTATGAAGAACTATTAGAACAGGTGGAGAGTCGGAAGGGGGGCCGATGAAAGCAACATTTATGTGCGCCGCTGTGGCTACGGACTGGTTAGTCTTCTAGTGATAGTACAATCAGTGATTATGTTGTACCGAGGCGCAATAATGGTAGGTGTGTGTTTCGTACTGTAGAATCAATTCTATGTCCTGTTCCATTTACTTTTTTCTTTTTCTGCAATCTCATTTGAATGGCCTTATGGCCCCTGACAACCCTTGGATTCAGATTGCCTCATCATTGTGTTGCTTTCAATGTATACTGAAGCTAGTATCTGCTTCTACTCGGGAGACCGTCTGCGCATCATGCCTTGTCAACGAAATCGAAAAGAAACAAAGATCAGAAAGTTCAGAAAAATGCTGGCCGTAGCAGAGACCTGGATTTAAAATGTAATGAACATATGGTGCCCTACCAAGGCTGTCTGGTAGCCTCCAAGCCTGGTTCGACTCGAGAAGGTTCAAATACCTGCCATCCACCCGTGGTCTCTCAATCTCAAATATTACCGCCTCTTCTCTATTTCGACAAGCTACTTGGTACATCGCGTTTGTAAGACACTAGCTAAATGAATCGTTATACTATCGAGGTGGAGAACTGGCGTGGGGCCAACACGAACTATGCAGTCATGATGGACACCCCAGTGTTCACCGGTGACCAGGAACCGTGGCTGAATGTTTGGTATACTATGTTCGACCCCTTCCATGGAAGTTTCGAAGTTAACACTGGCGACAACTTCTATGTCTGTAAGTTGCCATCTGTGCCTCTCCGAGGTGTATGTATGAGCTGACAAGAGCTGTACAGGGGTAGGGACTGTGCCTACTTCGCCTGCCCTAGGTGTAGTAGTTTCTAGTGGCATGAGCCTGCTCGCCCGGCTGGGCTCCGAAGGCGTACCCGGGAGTATGTTACCCAAGGACCTGTGGATAGCTATCTCACAACAAAAAGTCGAACGACATCAGAGAGCAGAAGGAAAATATATAAAAACCAAGTTCCCTCGCTTCGCAAATAGGCACCTTTGAGATGCAGTTTATCGAATCATTCCCAACCATTCAAGAGATTGTACCCTCTGCGACGACGGGGTTCGTACGGAGTCAAAACTGGCACGGACTTTAATATGCCTAACAACAATTACCTTGTTGGTCTCGCGAAGGTCAACCACAGGGGACAGGTTTCTCCAGTCGGATCGGTAAGCACACGTCCGCCAATTCATTGTCTATAGACTGATGGGCTCTTCCCCATGACAAGGTTGCTCCAGACAATGATCAGAGCATTCAAGTCACTCCTAAGATGAGATTCTTCGTTACGGAGAGCCAGCAGGTGCCTGGCGATAATTGTCGACCGGGCTGCTATGGAGAGAGATGGTGCTGTCGTGGACTTTAGCAGTGGCGAGGGCGCGGGGAGATTCTATGCTACTGTGACCCAGGGCGAGGATAACGGATCCACTGTGAAGTACTACGACTCTTTCGACTAGATGGGAAGGTAAGTCCTCTGTTCGGTACGTGGATGAATGTCAGTCATGCAGCCCAGGATGAGATACGGTTCTCGTCAAGCATAACATACGTGGGCAGATAGTGCAATTATGTAGATCGCGAGCTTCTGGGATAATTGTCCACGGCATAACACTCTCTATCTGACATTGTGTCTCCAAGCTATGCGTCCCTCGCTTCGGAGTACTTGGTGGCTGGTTGTAACTCTCCTTGATGTATACATGTTGAGTTATCTTGAAGATTCAAGCTTGGTTGAACTCTAATCCTGCGAACGATGCATCTGCCATGGCCGTTGAGGTCAGAATATCTCTTCTATTATCATGCTAAAATGCGGTAATGTCCAGCTCAGTCCAAACTATCAGACCCGAAGAGATGTGGTGTAAAGATGGCTTTGAACCGAGCAAATGCCAATGTACCAACTCAAAAGGAAGGCTCCCTACACCTAGTCCCATTGCTCACCCCACCCGAGCCTTCTATTCGTGCAGCACAACAAACCGGAAAGCAATCCTCCTGAAGCCTTTCTTCGCACACCGTAGTTCTCCTACACGTTATCTGAAGCCCCGGCCGCCCTCCCTCAAAAGCTGTTTACTCCCTTCAAACCGCAACCTTCCAAATCCCATGTCGGCCCACAATAGGCGGAGGCATTGAAGACCTCCGCCTTTCCTATTTTCACGTGACCTTCAAGAGATTGCCCCTGGTCCATCAACAAACACTGCGTGTCACATGCTCTGTTGCTATTTTCATCTTTCGAAACATAATGGCGAATTGCTGACTCGATGATATGCCGGGAGGCGGAAGTATCACAATTGCCGCCCGGAGCATGGTACTCATACCGCCAGCCATCGATTTCGCCCGAGACGAGAGAGCAATCACCCCGATGGGAGGCTGCCCAAGCCACCCATGCGACGGCGACCGCGGTTGTGAATAGGAGTACTCTTTTGAAAATGCCCCGGGTTCGGAAGATCTTGTTGGAGCCACTCGTGCTGACAGTCTCCGGCTCACGGGTGGTTGACGAGGTAGTATCAAAACCCGGGGAAGATTGCTTTGCTGTCTCGACAGAAGGTTTTGTACGGGCGATCACGGGATCGCTGGCCGTTGATGAGTTGGTCATCGGTAAACGAAGATGGCCTATGATGGAGGGCCGAATTGCGTTGAGAAGAATAGACTTCAAGTCAAGTTCGCAGGCGCTCTAAGATGAATTAACCCGACAGAGGGAAGGAGAAGGTCAATTGCAGAGTAAAAAGGCAGATAAACAATGCTTAAATGTAAGTTGGCCGGAAATCTACCGGGCTGGGAATAATGACAATTGAGGAACAGCGAGCAAGTACGGCGCAAGCGGCTAAACATTATATGCACTCGTCTCCGTCATGTTCCCAGGTAAGTGCCCAGGATGAGGAGCTTCTTAAGGGCTTAGAGCAGACATTAACCAGTAACTAGTAATGTTGAAGGATAGTCGCTGAAAGATGTCTCAGAGTCGCCGCGCTAGAGTTCTCTAGTATCGGATAGTCTCCGTGCAGCTGCGCGAGTTCCACCATGAAGCAATAAGCTAGAACCCGTGGGCCCACAAGGCCTCAATTTTGATTCTGTAGCACTTGTCTCATTCCATGCTGTGGCATTGCTGTCGGAATTTTAGTGGAACTAACCCGATGACAACTATCTAGTAGTCACTATGACTCTTACCTGTGGGTCGGAATCTTGAATTGAGGTGATTCCGTTGAGATTGCCGCGCCACATATCTTGGTCCCAGCATAGACCCTGCCAAGTCGGTCGGCTGCGGTCTGAATAGATCTTTGTCTTGACTTCGCATACACCTTCTCATATTCCACTGTTCTCGATAAATCATTTCAGGGTCATTTGCCGGTATCCAACCGATGATTTGATTTTCTCCCACCTGCCGCCGGATCCTTGACCAGTACGGAGTAATGAACCTGGGATTAGGACCTCTCGGATTCGAACGACATGTTGACCTTCGGTGAAGGTGACTAGGCTGCCATCGAAGAGCTAAAATGATGCATTATTTCGGGCAGGTCGGTTCTGGTCATCAAGCGAGCCGTTGGAGGAATGTACCTTGCTGGGAGGAGCACTATTTACTGGGAAACTTGTTGCATGCTGCCAATTCACCGAGTGTTGCTTGTCGGTTGCTGCCGCTGAGTAAGAGATATGTCAGCATAGCAGGGCCCACCGGCGGAAAATTGGCGGAAACTGTCGGGAGAGAAGGAAGTCACTTCCACTCTGTCCTCATACAAGCGCAAGCAATGCCTCTGTAGCTTTAGCTTTACGCTTTCAAGTCAACACGGCATTTGAGGAGCGCAAGGCAATCAATAGTATGCTTACTTGATGATGCAGTCGTTCTATGGCAGTACGCTGTCTCCTACTTTGATACCAGCATTCGACCGTCGTTCGGGAATGGCCCCAGGCGGAAAATGAGGTCGGACGATTCCAACGCGCACATACGCAAAGCTCGAAAGGTCACTAGGGCGTGCGATGCCTGCAAGGCCAAGAAAAAGGCCTGCACCGGAAATATTCCTTGTGGTCCATGTAATCGCAAGCATCTGACATGCACCTACCAGACGGCCTATAATCGCGGGGTAGCCCTCAGCCCCCCACCATCCGCCTCGAACGATGATCATCAACCTCCAACCCCAGGCCCGGGGAGGAGATATATTGACGGCAATGCATTTTCTCCTTACCCTCGCAATCGGCAGACTCCGACGGGTGGGTTCCGATACACCGCTGTGGAGAGTTCGCACAGTCCGCTTATCTCCCAGGCATCTGAGTCGGCACGTCCGATCCAAGAGTCCTTGGTCGATGTGGGAGGAGACGGAAGCTCGCCTGAGGTGACCGGTCAATACTGGGGTCCTACCTCGGCGCATTCCTTCCTAGACCGTGCCGTCCAGGATCTTCATCCCGCGACGCGACTGTCGCCCTCACAGCAACATAATCATGACACGCATTCGACAATCTCAATTTTCTCCTATGGAGACCGCGTTGTGCCGCTAGCCTCGGTCACTAGATTTACATGGCCTGACAAGACAGTTGCCGTAGACCTGGTTCGGAGATATTTCGACTTTGCTGCACCAACCTACCGGGTTCTTCATCAGCCGACTGTCGAGAGGCTGGTTAACCGCATCTACAAGAGCCAAACGCCACACGGCCAGTCCTGCTCATCGCCTGTAGAAACATCGCTCGAGGCGGCGTCGCAGGCCATTCTCTTGCTTCTTTTCAGCACTGCAACAATGTTTCGGGTAGACATGGATGGACGTATGCGCGATGCAGACGAGCATGGCTGGCAGAAGAGTGAGATGTATTATGCCCAGGCGGACCACCTACTTTCTCGTGAGACAGGTGCTCCGAGCATGGCATCTGTCCAGGCTCGCTTCCTCATGGTACTATATTTGCTCAGTTCCTCGAGGCCCCACAAAGCATGGTTCACGTTTGGGACCATGGTCCAGCTGATGATGGCCCTTGGATTACATAACGGACGCACAAGAAGGGGTCACGATGGGCACAACTTGGTGCAGAAGGAATGCCAACGGCGACTCGTATGGTGCTCATACACCTTGGACAAGTATCTCAGCGTCATGCTTGGTCGACCACGCTTATGGCAGGATGAAGATATCGACGAGGATCTTCCTACACGAGTCAATGATTCAGACTTGACGCCCCAGGAGAATCGACTCACAAAGCGTGACTGCTTGATGGACGCTCCTGTGTTTCATGTTCTACTAGCTCGTATCTTGACGCGGGCTGTCAAAGAGCCCTACGTGCAAACGGGAATCTCCACCCGAGAGCAGATCGCAACTATCTGCACGTTGCATGAACAGGTACAGTCGTGGCAGGCTGGATTGCCCCCGTTCCTGTCAGGCGTCATCCACCCAAGCAGCCTGGTGCCGGTCTTTCGGCGCCAGCTGACCGTACTCCGACTGGCTCGATACCATGCCGTGATGTTAATCACGAGGCCGCTGCTGCTGCGGAATTATGGGCAGATGTGGCTGGAGTGTGAGACGACCTACCAGGAGCTTCTCTGCACCTGCCTTACAGCAGCCTGCGATGCCATTGAGCTGATTCTGGGCTTCGTGCATGATGACGAGCTTTATACAGCATTTTGGTACTCGCAGTATATTGCCTTCAACGCCCTATCTATCATTTACATCTATTTGATCCAGCTTCGACAGGGGCGGATTTTCCGCGTTCGTCCTCCCTTTCTGCCAAGACCAGAGGGCTCGCTTGATGCCGAGCTGGATGAAGCAACGCTTTACAAATTATCCACGCTTGCTCAAGACCATTTAGCCAACGCTACGGCTCGAAACGCACCCTCCTGGAAGTATAGTGTCATTCTCCAGGGATTGCGCCAGGAACTGACTCGTCTGGGCTTACACAACACGGACGCACCACTTCCCGAGGATGTGACGGAGACAAATGGCTCCGTGGTAACAGGTATGGTGCTTGCGCAACCCCATGCCAAGACGGGTCATGCCGGCCAAACGACACGAGGTGAAGCGAGTGCCTCGATGACAGGGAACGAAGAGCGCAATAACAATCCAGGCGCCACTTCTCACCCTGCATTGGAGCACGGCCACTACATCGACTCGATTGGCCTAGATCCCCGTACAGAGTCCTTGTTGGATTACTTTGCACTGGATAAAGATTTGATGCTGGACTTCTGGCCCCAGTTGGATAGTCTGCCGATCAACTCAAAACTTTTTGACTGATGCATCGGGCAACTGGAATCGTGTGCTATGTTTTCATCTCTGGATGTTTAATTAGGAATATTAACCGGTATATAAGGCGATCACATCGGTCATGCTTCCTTATTTTCATCCTTTTTACGTTGTAAACACGATTGAGCCTCCGAGGTTAAGACAGATAATTCTGAAGCAGGAAGCAGTCGTTCGTGTCCTATGAGCTCGACTTAGTGGATTCACGGTTAGCCCGCTGAAGGCAGTAACACTCCAGGCGCATGGCAGCCAACCTATCTATGATAATCTCCCCCACATCGATGCAAGCCTGACTTGAGTCTGGGAAGACTGCAGAGGCAGAGTCGCATAAGAGCCATTGCTCAAAATCCCTCTATAAGCTCCGGGGAGAAGCACCTCTATCCCCGGACTATCGCGTCGCACCGACTTCTCCGGGATCGTTTTTTTCTCGATTCACGGGTCTGTTCCGAGATCCCGGGCTGTCCGTTGGACTCGGAGAAGGAGTGCCCCACCAGCTCACAAATCAGACAGTCTAGAAGCACCTGCCTCCACCTTCTTCTTCGGCCTTGAGCATGCGCAGGTTCATCTCGGGCCGGCGGGCGATGTCGCTTAGTTGTTGGTTTCGGAGATACTTGAATTCGTAGTAAGGATGCTGTTCATCAATGCGCCGCAGGCCCTTCTCCGTCCGGAAGCAGTCCAGGAGATCTTGGAGGTCCTGTGCCGAACATTCATCGTGGATGTTGGGTGGGGATGTTTGTCTAATCGGGCCCAAAAGGTTGAGTGAGTGCCATACTACCTCGGCAAACAGCTTCTGGTCTGGTGAAACTATCCTACCTATATAGCTTCATTTGAAAGGGTGCTCGAGTCTTTCTGTATATATCTTCGAACTTCTTCTGTTTGGTTGATAACTTTTTGTCATTCACCCTGGGGACTTTGAGTCGGACTGTGAGACTCATATGTCAGCGTTGTGGTGCTAACTGAGGGTGTGAGCGAAAGCGGCCGAAGGTCTTCAGCGGTGCCGATGAGGAGGTAGGCGGAAGAGGAGAGGAGCGCGCGGGATGACGGTGCTGTTTGGGTCCGGGGGGAGGAGTGAGAAGTGCTCCAAGATAAGCGTTTCTTGGGAGGGGTGCTCGTCGTGGAAAAGGTTATTGAGCTGGAATTGTGGAGCTCACTGTAATGGGTGTAGGAGTCTCTCGAGGAGATAATTGATGTTGAGATTGGTGGACATCTACAACAGTGGTCCCCTGAGTTTAAAAATAACCATGGTAATGTTCATGTAAAGATCACTGTCGGCCCGACACTCTCTTAAACCACATCATCTGTCCATTTAGTGCAGGCTCTAGGTCCAAGCCCAGACTCTCCACCACCCCCGTCACGCCCACGTGGAACTGCGCCGCCATGTAGTCAGGATCAACCCCTTCTGCTTCTGGCTTATACCACTTCACAACAAAGAACACCCCGCTCACATGCTCAAAGCGCATCCAGCTCTTGGCAACTCGATCCATCAAGTTCACATGCAGCTTCGCATCCTTCACGAAAAGTGTAATGGGCCCATGGCCTGGATGCGAGTATGTGCCTGTATAGTCGTTGAGTGACAAAGGATGGGGCAACAAGTGAGGGATTCCTGGAAACAGCCGATCCTTAACCTCGTCTAGGCTCTGCAGCTGTATTCTCTGCCGCTCTTGCACGATTGCATCGATCTTGGCAATATAGGCCTCTCTGTCTTCGCCCGACCTGCCCAACAGCCGATCAAGAAGATAGAGATAGAGCTCCAACTCCGCGGATCTCGCGTTCTGCGTATTGCCCATCATGACAAAGCCAAATTTCTTGCTCGGGACAAAGCCCACCATGATTCCGAACCCCTCCCAGCTCCCCGAGTGCCAAATTATCTGCTCGCCATGGTAGTTATCCACGAACCACCCGAGCGCATAGAGGTGGACTTGTCCCGGCGGGATATTCATGTCTTCCCAGTCTTTGATGATGGTCCGCGGAGTTAAAATTTCTTTATACCCTTGTGGTGAAATTGGTGCTCCTTGATATATCATCGTGCGTATCCATTTCGCATAGTCGAGCACATTGCTGACAATAGCGCCCGTGCCGGTGGTAGGCGCATAATCCATGTACGGTCGCTCGACGTGGCGATTCGTGGTAGGATCCCAGGTGTAGCCCTTCACCAGACGCTGTGCAGTGGATGGACACGCGAGCACTTCTTTATTCGAGAAGTAGGTATCGTTCATTCCGAGTGGTTCCCATATCCGCTTTTTCATGACGCTCCCCAGACTTGTTCTGGACAATTGCTCTAGCACATGCGATGCGACCATGAACATATGGTTGCAGTAATTGAATGTTGTCCGTGGAGCAAATGCAAGAGGCAGGTGGCGTAGCTTCCGCACCTCTTCGCGCAGGGTCTCATTCGGAAAGGCGAGGTTCATTGGGATGAAATGCCCGGGTAGACCTGAGCGATGGGAGAGCATGTCTTCAACTGTGGTATTCGCGGTAGCGTACGGGTCTGCCAAGACAAAATCATCCCTGATCAGAGACGAGACGGGAGTGTCCCAGCAGATTGGATCTGGTGTGTCCTTGCTTTCGTCAATAGCCATTGACATGAGGGCCGCAGTAAAGGCTTTTGTGGTGCTACATGTGTCGAAGAGAGACTCGACGGTCATTTTCTTGTCTGGAAATTCCGCAATCCCGTATGCCTGTACTCCAGGGTTAGCTCATACTATATGGCGACGTTGGAACTTGGCAGTACTTTGGCATAAGTGCTGGAGCCATGGATCACTGACACTGTGAGTCCAGGCACCTTCCATTTGGCCAGTTTCTCCTCAACCAGTGCGTCGAACTCCGGAGTCAGGGGAGAGTTGTTCGGCCGTAGAACCATTGTGGCAAATAGTGCTGACGTCGACGGGGGCTTCGCTATTTGTCAAATGAACAGAGTTGGTGATAGCACGTTCCCAAGATCAATGGCTTGAGATGGTGGTATTGAGATGGTTGATGGAGCGGAAGAGCGGGGAAATGTGGTGGTCTTGCAAGCGGCTTATTTATCTCCCAGCTGCAGCCTACAGCCGCCCCGTGGATTACCGCTTTGGGTAAGTCCACCTCGAGATGCATCCTACGGAAAATATCACAGATACAACAAGATTGAGGAACAGTGTTCACAATTCAAGAGCATTGAAGTAAAGCAACATGATGCTGACACAGAGGTCTCTACAGGTGAGTGAAATCAGATCAAGCTGGTATAATAATACCATGGGTAACATTCGTTTAATTGCTCGTGTCAGCCAAGGGGTGTGCATTTGCCTACATGTGCTCATTAAGCATTACCTTACATCATTTAGAGAGGGTGAAGATGAAGGGAACCTGACAGTGAGTAAGGGTTATATTTTTTCTATCTTCCTATTTGCGCAACGCTTGCTCAATCCAATCGTTGTCCATGTCGATATCAATTTGATGAAGGACCTCTTCCCAAAGCCCGGGATCATCATTTACATCGAAGTTGAAGGATATGTCCTGCACGGAAGAGATATCCTGGTTCTGAGGTCTCGGTCCTGTTCGTGCAGCCTGTTCCACGACGCTAGAAGATGGTGTATGCTTTTGCGTGCTAGCGGGGGTGGCCGGTATATCCAAAGCATTGTTGTCCACATCCCTTGAGCGGTTCGGCCCAATGGCAGACTGTAGTTCAAGAAGCAATGAGTGACGAGCCTCGAGGATGGTATTCCCTCGATCCGCCATCCCTCGAAGAAGGTTCAGCGCGATCGCCATGGATCGCGCATTGGAATCGTTGTGCGGAAAAGCCGCATTGACCATGACCAGCAAAAGAGCGGCAGAGAAAATATACTCTCCATCTAAGTATCCGTAGGTCGCTGCTTGAGCGTTAGAGTGCTAACAGCATCAGGATCGAGGGGCTTCGAATGCACATACCAACCAGGTTCTGCTTAGAAGCAGCATCCATGATCATGATGGTGGCACGAGCAGCGGAAATGCAGCTCTCTATCACCTGCACGGCATTTTGGGAAAGCCCTTTCTTCCAGTCATCTGTTACCGAGCCTGCTGTGTCTGCATCAAGACGTCGCTGGATGACATAAAAGACCAATGGTCTTGCTGTCATATTGACACACGAGTAGAAATGTAAAAACAACGACACTGATTCGCGATTTATGTGCGTTCCAAGAGTTGAAAAATCAATACGCAAGCGGTCAGGTACCCGTCTTAGCCAGTCGAATAGTTCGTCCATGATACTTTGTACTGAGAGGAGGAGGTTTGACCCGGAGCGAGGTTTCTTCCGATATATTTCTTTCCACTATAAGTTAGTGATCGCGTCTTGTAGGTTGGCGAAGCCATCTTTACCTTCTCCAATGCGACCAAGTATTCTCGATAATTGCGTATAGTGTATTAGAACAACAGAAGGCCAGGGGACCACGTCGCCGGGGTCCTACGTGCAGTCAGTTCATGCTCACATCCCTTGACAACTCAAAAACTTACAACCGGTCGCGGCCAAGTTGTCCCTATGTCTTCATCTTGGATGGTTATAGGATTTCCGGATTTTACGGAAAGGAGCCTAGTGTTTGTCAGGTAACGTCATATCCTCTTCTAGCCGACACAGGCTTACCGATCCAAACTGTACACGGACCACCAGGATCGACGTCGACGATTCCGGTCTTCTTCGCTCATTGCTGGATCCGACGCCTCTTGGTGAAGTCCCAGTGAGATGGCCATTCGCAGAGCGGTGCCAATCTAGTCATACTTGTAAGCTTTTGTCGTGTTGTGGGGTGACAAAAACCACATACATAGAGGAATGCAGCATCCCGCCGATTCAAGTTTTGCATATAATATGCTACGTAGCATAGTACTTCGACAAAGAAGATAGAACCCTCTTCATGAATGTCTGGTAGGAAGCGAAGAGCATGCTTGAAGTATTTGAAGCCGGGAGGACCATCATCTCCCGACCACTGATTCACCGAATACATCAGGCCGTATGAGATAATAAGCAGGACCTGGCAATAGACCAGACATGACTCTCGGTTGAGTAGGTCTCGAGGTTGGTGGTAGACTATGTAAAGTCGATCTTCGTAGTCCTGTGGCTGTATAAGGGAAAAGATTGTTCCGATGTAACTGTACTGCACCCAATAAAGACGCTTGGCGTATTCGAAAGGCGGTAATTGAGGTAAAGCCGGCGATATAGATCGACGCAAGGATGTTGGATCATCATAAAGTGGGCGCACATCCCACGCTAAATTCTTTGAGGTTGGGTTGAGACGCTTGGCTAGATGAGTGGCGGAGGATGCTCCAATAAATTCTGATCGAATCATGAATCCTTTAGTATCTTTCCCTTGAAGGTAAGAGTGGTACGTACGATGCTCGCCCGACCGGTTAAGAAAGAGGTTATCCGCTCCATTATACCACCAGTCGTCTCGTTCCAGAGATGTTTCCGCTGGGGTTACGGAAGTGCTCTGGGAAGCTGATGTGGAGCTGGGAGCGGGTGGTGGAGGGCGATTTCCATCTGGATAAGAGTGAGCTGGAAATACGATAGCCTAGATCGGACGAAACAAACCTTGACGAGCGGCTTGTGCATCGGATAGCAAGCGACGGAAGTAGCTACTCAGTCAGATAATGGATGTGTAGGTGTAGTCGTCCACTCACCTCTCGGTAATAGACACACGTTTCTCAGCTTCGGAATACACACAATCATAGCCCACATCTTCGCACGCAGCACACGGATAAGGAGGATTGCCAGCGCAGCGGGTCTTCCTGGAGCGACATCGATTGCATCTGCACGAAGACGTTAGTCTCACCCACGTGGCAGAAGGGAACATGGGTCCGTCCATACGCTACCATCGATCGCCTTGCGCTTGCACGCTCTTCGGCAGATCGGTGCTGCAACCCACGGTGGACCTTCCCATGAGCCATTTTCAAGCACTCTTTGCTCGTCTCAAGGCAGAATATGCATCATTAAGATGGCTGAAAGGGTTGAAGATGTTGGTATGAGGCTAGGATTGTGGGGGTCGGGTCCAGTTCAACCCAAATGCGGAGGGGGACGGCAACTGATAAGAGAGATCGCGCACGTTGGACTTTTGAGTCACGGTCACGTTGATAAGCGTCCAGGACCAAGTAGATAACGGACAGGAACTCTGAACACGAGGATTGGGATCTGAGGCCGACTCCACTTGGTGCGAACTGCCCTCGTGGGTGGTGTTCCACAGAACAGGACGAGAAACACGAGGCAAGGCTAGATAGAAGATTGGCATCCAAACATTGCGGGGAAATTCGAGGAAACAGCCAAGGCGGTAACCAGAATGGTCGTAGTCACTCCCATTCAGTCCCATGATCCGCTTAGTAGTACTTCCAGTTACCTTTACAGCCATCCGAAAGCCACGCGATCGACTTCTACATTCATCAATCAATAATCAATCTACAACTTAAGGTATTATCGGCCCGTTAAGGATTCCCTTGTTGCAGATCCGACCTCTCATAACCACCCCCTTTAAAATCAAACTTCTCGGCCCGACCGCCCCATGACCATGCGCGCGCCCGGGGGAATCGTGTTTCCCATCACGTAATTTCGACTGACTGGCCTGGGAACTCCTCGTCTGCGCCAATCAAGGTTCTTAGCTAAATGTCAGGCTGAATCCACCCGAGGCAGCCCGTGCTTGGGGACCTTTCAGACGTGTCGCACGGTGATGCTGCGACAATGACGTTGAGGGGATGTTTCCTCCGTTTTATTTTCTCGACCCGGTTTCGGGATGACGCGGCTGGGCCCAAATTATATCCCCCAAACCGTCACACAGCCGGATACCTTATATGAGAGCACCACTCCTTTTGACCTCTATTTCAATGCGAAGGTTTTCTGGAGGAATAGGATGAGCGGTTCCGAGCGACTGCAACCATGTTGCTGCTCGTGATTGCACTTCTGTCATCAATGCTGGCTTTTGCATACACTTTCCGCCAATACGCGCACTTGAACTGGGTTTCCGACCCCTTAATATCGCGCATCTCGTGGTGGTGGCACATCTACCTGCGTAACTCACCTCATGATGGTCTCAAGCTCTCAGAACTCCATTCGAGATATGGAAGAATCGTTCATCTAGGACAAAACCGGATCAGTGTCTCAGATCCCAACATCATTGCTCAGCTATACCAGTTTCAGTGCAATAATATTAACGTATGTCTATCACGCGCTTGACTAGACCAGAAGCCTTGTTGACAGAAGTGTTGTTCAAACTCGCAGGGATTTGAACCTCGGGATGCCGATGCTTGCGCACAAAGTGGACGCGATTTCCAAATTCCAACCAGCAAGTGGGCGAGGTTTTTTGAATACGAGGGTATCAACGAAATCTCAACGAAAGAGCTTCTGTGCGCTCTGAGAGTACATCAGAGTATAGAGCTGGTAGCCTGTCTCAGGATATTCGCCGCGACGCTCATTGATCAATGCATATCCGACCCAGCGCCAGACACAACTCAGATACAGACCCAAGCAATAAACGCCCTCTCGCTTCCCATCAAGCCATCCATAATAGAATACTTACTCTTCCAGAGCCCAATATCGTCGCTAAAAAGGTACAGAGGTCGGCAGCTTACACATTGTTCCATGATTCCCGTCCCTGCCCTCACGACACCTGCTAGCCTCCACAAACCAAACTCAGACAGCTCCAACACCCTCCTTAACGACACTTCCCTGACGAGCGACGATCTTACAGCCGAGACCGAATCCCTCATCACGGCCTTTGCCTCTGTCTTTCCATATTTGGTTCAACAACCCGAAAAGCTAACTACGCTTCAAAATGAGATCGACTCAGCCTACAATACTGGGTCACTCTCCTCCAATCCACGCTGGAGGGAATTATCACGTCTACCCTACCTTTGTGCCGTGATGAAGGAGTCGATGCGCCTAACCTGCACCACGAACATGGACAAAGAGTTCCCAGCCTCAGCGGTCTCGGACGATCTACGATCGGAACCCGCCTTCCCGAGTGGCACGATCATCAGCTGCAACGCCTACGTCACGCATTTCAGTGACTCAATCTACGGAGACGACACACACGCGTTCCGGCCGGAGCGATGGCTCACTGCCAGCGTGCCGCAGAGGAAGCTCATGGATCAAACCATGCTACTCTTTCATCCGGGGCTACGCGCCAATCTAAAGCTCCGCGCCGCCTGGCTGGAACTGAAGAAGGTGGTTGTTCAGATTTTGCTCAACCTCAACGTGAGTTTCTCGTCGTCCCATTCCACAACCCGGGCTTCAAACTCACATATCTCCAAATGAATCAGATCCAATCACCACCGGCCGAGGATCATGCAGCAGAAACGCCGAACGTCTCGTCAGTCTTTGCAATCGTCACTACAACTCCTAGGATGCCGGGGTTCTGACAGCACAAAACCTGACCACACAAGCTCTTCAACCTTGGCTTCCATGGGATCATCTAGAAAGTCCTTGCTAAGCACATCAACCCCGCAACGCCTCACCGCTGCTGCTATCACCCCTTTGTTATGTTTCATTCGGAACAAGATACCCCTTTGTCGATTTCAATTTTTCTACCATAATACACTCAACGATTGACTCTCTATTTCACTGTAGCTTCCTTGAGTTTAAGCCTCGCCCCACACGGCCACAAAAAGTGGACCCGATCCCACCCGAGCCTCGGCTTAGCCAACCATGCTCTATCCGAGGCGATGAGTAGGTGTCCCAGCTCCAAAGGTGGAGGGGCATCAAGATCGGGTCGACATATAGACAAGATGATGATCATGTAAACAAGTGGTAGTAGATTGTGAAAATAGCGTTCGACCACAAATACGCACTCATCAAATGAGAATGGAAAAGAAGAAAACCTACGAAGGATATAAACCAGAAACCCAGTGCGACATCGACAGGTGTGCCTGACCTTGCGCAGAGCCAAGCAGGCAAGTCTCCTTGGAGCATCAGGCTCAACAGGACTCCGAAGCTCGCTGCAAGTTATTGCTCTCAAATGCCCAGGCCGATCTGGCAGCCCGGACGACTTGATTGTAGCTGCTGATTGACGAGTCTTCCTGGTCTCATCGCGACGCGAGGTGTTTGAAACCGTGATGCCGCTCAGGTGGAGAAGACAAATCACGCCCCGCAAAGCTGCCTCCAGCTCCAAAGAACTAGCGTGCCGGAAACCCTACTTCAAGATACGTCCTCTGCGATGCCAATATGTAGCCCACCCATGGAATGCGCTCGTGGTTCTCGAAGCCGCTCTGACTGAAGACTATGCGGGTCTAATCGATCGGAATGTGGAGCAGGAAGCTATTCTTGACGATCGGTTCGATGTGAGGTCGAGGTCTTCACTCGGAGCGGTTATTGAAATGGAGCATCGAGCGCTTGAGGACACATAGCAGCGCAGACTATAACAGTATCTATATAACAGGATCGACTCCGTCAGTTTGCGGTCGGAGGAGGCGACAAACAGGTTATTGTACCTGGGCCTGCTGGTCGATTGGATGAAAGTGTCCACAATAGACGAAACAATGGGACACGGGCCAAAACTCTCGCTCTAATGCCTGAATATGAACATCAGTGACCGAGTAGACATTCAACTACCTTCCAAATCTTGTCTTTATGAAAATATTTCTGTTGAGGGGGCGTATAGAGAAGCGATCTTAGCGTAGTCACTGGGATATATGATGCAGACTGTTCTACGAACAAAAAGAACGACAATTGCTGTTCCTCTCAATGTGTAAGAAGATCGACTGCAAGAGAACAAGTGATGCTTGAAAGATCAGGGAGTGTTCGAAGCGCGGGGAAGTCACTCTCTGCCCAAGCGGAAACACCGCACCTCAGAGAGGAACAAGAGGCGGCGTACTCCTCGCTATCAGTCCTCAAGAGAGGGGAGGTATGTTTAAAATCTTCAAAGGAAGAGTACCAATACGGAGAAGAAGCTGGAACATATTCATCAGATCTAAGACATCACAAGAAGAGAAAGAAGCGTGGAAATCAAGAGCCCGCCGTCGGCTGTCGCCAGGAATCTCAACACCTCAAAGCGACAACTTCAGCATCACAGCACTCGAGACAGAGTCCAATATCATCCCAGAAAGCACGAAAATTGGCTAAAGGAGATCAAGCACCAAACAAAAAGATTAAAAAGCTCACCTGTCGGGTGTGGCGCAAGGCGCCGCACCGCGGACAGGCTACGAAACCCCCCCTTCCAGTTATCCTGAGGAGGTTTGCAGCTACGAAATGGGCCGATCCCCAGGGGGATCGAACCCAGACCACTGCGCCGTTTCCTGATCAAACCCGCAAGCGTTCCCGATTGCGCCACAGGGTCTGGGTTATTGACAGTTATACTCGTTTTTGTTGTAAGTACCGCGTTCCTGACTCTATTGGGAAGGCGGTTGCAAGGCCCACTTTGGCAGAAAGCGACGGGCGGTGGGGCCCACACTGTGCAGGCCTGAGGCAGCAAGGCTAGCACAGTCAAATACTGCCACCACGTCGAGTTAGAGGAAGTAAGACAATTCGACCAGGACCTATCGGCACAGGATATGCCGTTTGTCTTACGCTCTACTCGACAAATTATCTCCGCCTTTACCTGATGTAGAAAAATGCCCCTCACATGTATATAGTGTGGGGCCAATCTTAGCTTGGCATTCATGCTTAAATCGAGTGGGTCTCCAGCCGCGGGCCGAAAAATAAACTATTGTCCCTGTACTCCGTACTTGCTCCGTAGTGACAATCACTGCAAAGTGCTTGCTCACGTTATTCCATCTTGAAAGCATATCACAGATCTGAAGTTAAGTGAGCCTACTAGGTACACAAGAAGTCTATATCTCTCTTCACTCACAGCTCAACAGAATCACAAGATAATAAGATGATCCAGACTTGCTCGGAGCGGAGTTACTAGCGTGTGTTAGTGCTTCCGCCAAGCAGAGATTTATCACTAAAGGGTATGATGTTCATGTCTGAACGAGAAACATGCATCTAGTAGTGGATTGACTTACTTGGCGGTTGCTACAAGTTTGCGACTTTGACAGGATGGGAAATACACCCGACCATATGCGTTGGCCAGTGATCTGGCCTGCTTTCAGCACTCATCCGGCACGTCTCGTGGTCGATTTCTCCAGTCCGAGGATATCGAAGGAACTGACCGCGGCATATTTATACTGTTGTAGGAAGATGACATAGCCCAGAGCTGCCGAGGCTGCATGTTCAGCCTGCCTCTTTTGTCACAGATCCTATATGAATAGCTCGGTCAGACTACTTAACGCACGGAGGGCACAGTCTGACGTCTCCGTTGCGCCATTATAGGTGATACAGTCCTCAGTTAGGGACATATTGAGAACCGTGTTTCAGAGCAGGGTCATATGCCATTCCACGTATAATGCCCTAGTTAGGCGCCGTGCTCATCTACGAACTGACCGAACGCAAAGGTACTCATTCGCTTCGAGACTCCTACCTGAAAAGGTCTAGCACAGAAGGGTCTCGTTTAGGCTGACCGGAGATCTGAAGCTTTGATAATTTCATCCGAGTCTAGTCTAGACTAAGTAGCAGACCGACTCTAATCACACTACAGAGTGGGACGCTGTCTTAACATCTATACTACTACAAGGGTCTCATGTCTCAGAGAATTCCAAATATGCAATACTACATCGCGAATGCACATTATGTCGCTCCACCTTGGATGTCAGAGTAAGATTCCGAGCTGGTCTCGCGGGGTAGCCGAGGATGGCAGCTACCGTCCTGAGCTCTACCCGTAGCCTTTTGAACTTCATCCACATCTTTTCGCGGCATAGATACATACCATGTCGACTCTACTCGGTGCATCACCAATTTGTACCTTGAGAGCAATGGCAATAGGCAACTCAACATCGAGTACACAAGCTCCTCAAAACCCTCACTTCTTCCATCATGGCGCCCAGAACCATCTCACCACCCATGACGACTAAACCAAGAAACGCCCAGCACCGAAGGATCTCAGTTATCACCTCCAGCTCCACTTACCCTTCACCAGGATACTACATTCCAAATATCCTAGTCTTCGAACCTCAATCCGACCAATCACCCCAAGAGCTAAACCTATATAAACCACCCTTCGACCCTCTCACTCCCACCACCCGCTCAGCTCCCAACCCAACAAACTCCAACCTTTCCACCCTCAAACCCACCCACAACCCTCAGAATGCAACTCCTCGCCTACCTCCCCCTCGTCCTCAGCCTGAGCACCCCCGCCCTCTCAGCCTGGGGCATCAAGGCCTGGCACAGCGACAACTGCAGCGGCTCGCTGCTGACGCACATCGAGAACTCGCCCAAGACGGGGTGCTTCAACTTCGACAAGAAAGAGGGGTATGGGATCCGCTCGATCAATGGCAACTTCAACACCAAGGACTACCACATCACGATCTACCCCAAAGAGAACTGCAAGGGGACGGCGGCGTGGTCCGGCCAGCAGATCAGTCCTCACAAGTGCGAGGTGTTCAAGGAGTGGAACTCAAAGGTCGTCATGTACTCGTACAAGGTCACTGCGGCTTAGGCCTATGTCGGGAGAATTGGATGTGGTGAGTTTCTTCTGAGGGGCGCGTGTGGTTTACGCTTTCCTTTACGGGGCAGATGGCTGACGATGGGGGGGGGGGGTAGATACCGGGACGTTGATGCGTCTTTGGCTTCGCTATATGTGCTGTATATGTAGCGTTGGAAAGTCTTTCTGCTGCTGTCTGTTCATAGTATCTATATCTTGGACGGCCATATTGCCTGTCTCGCCATCGTGATAGAAAAAGAATATTTCTAACATCATTCCCCTGCCTATAAACATGGTTGCAACTCAAGGCTTTTTACACTTTAGAATATATGCTTGATACAGTAGCTTAAGAATTTATCACCGTGAACTATATTGAAGCATAGATCTGTCTGGCCTTTGCTGGAGCCCGAGGACCTTATACCTTATGATCCTCCTGCCTGGGTGAGCTACCGAGCAAATTCCCCGCACGGGTTGGAGATCCCTCCCCCGCACGTAAGGCGGTCAGCCCTACCGACCCTTGTTTCCCAAGGTTAGACATCATACCACGGCGCATGACTTAATCGCGACGTTCTAGAACCCCCAATTCCGCGATCAACCGATCTTCAAGAGTCACGACCAAACCAATTACACACCAACCGTATTGAATAACTAATCAAGTCCAGACCACCTACTGGAAGTAGCTTACTCCCCCCCTCTCATCACCACTTCAATCACAAAATTCCCCACATTAGCGCCCCTCAACAAAGAACCCACACACTATAGATACTCCTAAACCATCGATGATGGCATACATCCCCATTACGTCACCACCCCCAGATCCAGAAACCCAGACCATCCAGATTTATAACCCCTTTCACGCCATTAGTCAATGCCACCTAACTTAGCCAGCTCAATCAATCCTCGCCCAAAAAAAAATAAAATGCCTCGCATCCCCTCTCCATCTTTTAAGTTGACAAGACAAATCCCATCTGCAACAAGAACCCTCCTCAACATATCAACCCCAAAAACACTCACCCTCACTACCTCCCGGATCATCCGGCTCCCTCTACCTGCAGCAACATCCCCCAAACGAAACCACAGCACAACATCAAATCTCAACAAATACACCGCCGGGAACATGACGAGTCAACCCCCCAAAAACGAGATGGTCTATTTCCCCGGCGTCATGTCGCCGAGCCGGAAGTTCGGGGTGTTCCGCAAGGTTCTCCACACGGGCTTGTACTCGCAGTTTGTGGCCATGGAGGTGCCGGTTAATGGGGAGATTGGGGATGAGGTATTCTCTATTCAACAGGTGTTTTGTGGGACGCGAGCTAACACAGATATTTCGGGTGTAGGTGCATACAGTTGACCAGACTTTGATTTTCACACACGGGACGGGTAAGGCGATTGTCGCTGGCAAGGAGCAAGAGGTGAAGCAGGGGGATGTGGTGATTGTGCCGGCGGGAACGCAGCACCAGTTCCTGAATGCGGGCAATACGCCCCTCGAGTTGGTGACTATCTATGCTCCCGCGGAGCACGATCCTCGCACGGTGCACCAGACTAAGGAGGAAGGCGACGCCCAAGAGGAGGCGGGTGAGGATGAAGCGCCAGAGTGGAGTCAGCGGAGTAAGAGCGAGAACGAGAGGATTGGATTGGTCAAGGTGCCACAATAGCTGGAATTGGCAACGGAAATCATGTCCAATCTAGTATTCCATAAAGCACAGATGATTCATTGAAACAGCAACACTGCAGTCAATTGCGACGTTCTTCTGATGATCCAACCATGTTATCCATAAACCTCCCCACTTTAGCTTTCGGCGCAAGATGATACAGGTGATTAGACCGCCCCAAGGTCACCATTTAATCATTTCTAATTGACTTTGTCAAGCCTCTCCTCACCACAGGCTCATGTAGGTAGTGCTCGTACAACATCGACTATTGGGGTTGCCAGTCTCTGTTCAGGAGAACAGGGCTTGTCTCGGTCCATCAGAGGGTTTGTTCTGGCTAAGAATAGAGGGAGGAAACGATTGAATGGTAATGCCTCAGGTCCGAATCACTCTCGCACGTAGTTAAATTCAATTGTCGCTGGCGGAGTACATGAAATTAGTGCTAAAATAGTCTATCACTCTATCAATATCAACTCGAATCAACATCACGACGACAGCTTTTCCTTTCTATATCGCCTCCAACTGACAAGCATAAAGAAAACCGAGATTACCACCCCTAGACCAGCAAGTCCGATTCCTAGATACAGCGCACCGTGGTACCCCTGGAGTGCATCTTCTCCCCCATTGTTGACGTTCGACTCCACTGTACCAGCGAATCCCAGTCCAAGCGAGATCGAATAGTTCACTGTTGTGGTGACCAAGGAGGCTGCGAGCCCTTGGTGGTGGTGTTGCATCGAATTGCTCAGGATCAGGGTGCCAGATGGGAATGACATGTCCCTGCAACAGATTAGCCACATGCTACCACTGATGTAGAAACTAGGTATATACTCACATTCCCCATGAAGTAATCAAGCTAGCAACGAAGGCTTGGGCCCAGTATGTTTGATTCAATGGTATCGTCGCAACAAGGCCCTGACCAACGGTGAAGAAGCACATGGCGCAGAACATGATCACACTTGGCGGCAGTCGGCCGAGAAGGAAGCCGGTGACAAGGGCGGCGACTGCCCCCGACGGTGCGGCAGCAGACCACTTCGCCGTCGCCAGTAGCGGCGAGTCTCCTTTGATCACCTCCATGAACTGATAGAAATAATAGATGACGATACCAAAGCTGGACCAGCCAGCAGCAATGCATCCGAGCACCCATGCTAGATCCCCTGTCAAAACCGACCGGGGGATCAGCGGACACGAAGCCGAGCCTTCGACGAAGACGAAGATGCCGAAAAGGAAAAAGCCGACGATGAGAAGGACGTACGTATACACCGTGGGCCAGCCAACCAGAGCTGCTTGGTTCCAGGCGAAGTTGATCAGTACTAGTGCTGGAATACCAGTTGTCGCTCCGACGACGTCTAAGCGAGCCCATGTCGATAGGTCATCCTTGAACTGCGGCCGATGAGTTTGCGGTATGACCAGCAGGCCTAGCACCGATAGCACGAAGCAAACGATTCCCATAACCCAATACGCCCAAGGCCACCACACGAGCTGCGCGAATATCGACGAGAACACACCGCCGATGATGAACCCGCCAGGGGCAGTGGCACCGAAACAGCTGAAAATCATTTCTTTGCGCAGGCCCGGGGGGTATGCGCGGCCGAGGATTGCAATCGCATTCGGGAGCAGCAAAGCTGGGCCGATGCCCTGAAGGGCCCGGCAGCAGTCGAAGAACACTTTGTTGGACCATACACTGAACCCAGCGAGAAGTGACCACAGTCCGAACCACGCGAAGCCGATGATGAACATGCGACGATGACCATACACATCTCCAAGCCGACCGGCGACCAGAATGAAAGTGCCGACCGTCAGACTATAGGCTGCGGCAAACCAGCTCAGCTCTCCTGCGCTGGTGGTTCCGAAGCTGTCCCCGATGATATGCGCCGGCGCGATAGACATACATAGCCCAGCTTGCGTCATGAATTGAGCCATACATACTACCGCAATGAACAAAATCTCTTTCCAAAGCACCGACGGTGGTTTGAGTATTGACTGGGCAGTCTCGAGTCGAGTGAGTGCCTCAGGGTCATGCTCGTCGGCCTCATTTTCAATTGGTTTATCGTGCAGTTCGTTGCGGGAAAAGGTAGACTCGGAATCGGTTGGGGTGGATTCGACTTGGAACTGACGATCGGAGTATTCTGTCTCGACGGTCATTTCTCTGAAACGCTTTTAGGCCTCATGAAGATGCAGCCGATTCAACAAGACACCGAATCTGGAGGACAGCCAACTGCTCCGGGCCCGAGCTTGGGAGAGTCCTCTATCTTAAGTATTGCGAAATGTTGTAGCCCACGCTGTTGATAATATCTATCTAAACCCACTCAGTCGCCACAGTAGAGGTATACTGTAATCCAATTCGCTATTCAAGGCTGAGGAAATGTCCCAGAATAGCTAGTCGGGCCTGGCGGACCCATACTTCAGGCTTGTCCCGTCGGAAAACACTCCGGGCCCGACGGATTGCAATGCGCCACCGACAGCCCGAATCGATATCATTGCGATGTACGAAGATTTAGGGACTGCAGCAAAACCTTGGCGCACAAAGACATCTACTGCTTGATTGCTCGAGACCGATATCCCTTAACTATTATTAGTATTCTTACTGCAAGCTTTCTAGGGCCTAGCTCTGCTAATCAATACAGAGTCTTTGCTCTGCACGCCGGCTGCCCAGCTCAGATTGATCTCGATAGATTCGATTGCGTCAGCCACCATGTTTCATAAGAACCTGATTTCTGATGTTAAGCGCGGCGCTAAGCCTTGTCTATGTTGATTATCTATTTTACACTTGCCATAGAAGCGTGCATCTTCTGGAATGCAATGGAATGTTCAGGGAAGATTTCATCGGTGATTGTCCATGGTTAAATCATGTGGCTGCAGTACCTTCTATCTACTCAACGCGCTGCTTATGGCTTACCATATCGCCAACGCATCAATAGGCCCCTTGCTCAGATCGACGAATTGCCCCAAGAGCTATATTTCCGTCTCTTACTAGATTTATCCAGAGCCCATGTATCGTTAGAAACTATACCTCCTTTTCGAAGCCAAAAAACATATCCTGATTTGAATGTTGGTAATATTCATTTTCCGAGCTCTCTGCAAGATAAAGATGGCTTTAGAAGCTTTGGTCGTGCTGGTAAATACTCTGCTCATTATCAGACCAAGCATGTTGAGAAGGACATTGGGTAAGCGATAAATTTGAGACTCATTGTAGCAGTACCTACATGACGGAGTGAAGGCTGGGCCAGTGTTTATACTCCGAGTGTAGGCCTAGCTCTAGTGTTTCTGAGATATCTAGATACCTTAATTGCATAGCTTGATGGCTTCACATCTAGATGAATCCAGAGTGGATCGCTTGTAGACAGACAGCAGTCCTAACGTTAGACGCCGGGGTCATCCTTGTTCGTTGCATCGCTGGGAAGAGTTGGAGGCTTCTATCATCATCTCCAATCATTTGCACGGTTTGCTTTCAACATAGGGCATGAGCTGAGAATAAGATACAAATGTGGATTGTCAAGTAATCTGTGCTACCCCCACTGCAGTAAACCACTAAAACATCGCACACAAAGGTACTCACTAGGTACCTCCTGGTAACAACAAGAGGTATTTTATTTTTCTTTTGGTGATCGTGGGATCTATTACCTGGGTCTAATCAAATGGATCCGGAAAGATCTAAGCATTGCTAGCAATCTTCCGGATCTGGGCAATGGCTGCCCCCGCCACCTCCACGGTCTCGGCTTTCCCACCAAGATCCGGGGTGCAGATTCCCATGCTGCAAGTCTCCTGTGTGGCTTGGAGCTTAAGATTCTTTTGTGCATATACCAGAATCCAACCTTCCTACTTCATCTTTGGCTTTTCAGTACCCAAGAGTCATCATGAGATTGCACTCATCGGAGCCGCCGGCCAGATAGGAACTCCTCTTAGCCTTTTATGCAAAATTGTGAGTACTACTTGTTGTGAACACATACGAATCATGCTGACTTCGCTGCACAAAGAGTGACCTATTCAGCGAGGCCTCACTCTATGATCTGGTTCTTGTCCCTGGCATTGCCACTGATCTGATGCACATTGACACCAGGGCCAATGTTGACGGGTATCTTGCCGAGGACTCTGGCCTCAACAAGGCGCTTACGGGCGCGATGTTGTGGTCGTGACTGCTGGTATTGCTCGAAAGCCGGGGATGACAAGGGATGATCAGTGCAAGGGAAGCTTTCAACTCTTGAATGAAGCTAATTGTTCGACTGAATCCAGATCTACTCAAGGTGGCTACCCTCTCTATCTTGCCACGGCGCTGGAAAGAAAGCAAAATCTAACTACGACTAGACCAACATTAGCATTATCCGTGAACAAGACTTCGTTACCATCGGTAGTGTAAGGTGTGTGTTATCTGTTGTCAGGAGCTAAAAAGTAGATGTCCTACAGGTATTCTCTTCTACATCTATATGGTATGATTAATATGCCAGATTACTATTGTATAGACTACTGAACTAACGAGTATGCTCTTTTTCTTGATTTAGATAATCTAAGCTATATAGTACTATAATACTTAGTTAGCTATGTGGTTGAGTTATAGTATCTAAGAAATTGCAAATGAATGGGATAATACTTACTGGATTTGTTATAAGTGATTCAAACGCTTTTGTAATTACCTAGCCTGGAAGAATATCTATATGTTTGTAACGCAGTAGGAATAGTATCAATGACTCCTATATCTTGCAGTTCTTTTTTTTCTTTCAATATCAAACTCCTGTCATTATGTTAAGCTCATACTAGTCTGTTTGATAGCATGCAATGTCTTAGCTATCTACAAATCCCTGAGGCGGAGCTCTATACTAAGGGCATCAACCCTATAACAGATATACTCGACATAGGGGTTAGAACAGATGATTTAGGCCGGCACTGTGATACCGATTAAGGTAATTTCATATCATATGTGATCGCCACGTTTACACACAGGTCTCCCATTGCTATACAGTCTGCTTCCAGTGGTCTCTATGGCAGCGGGTGGTTAGAAGCACCAGCCTTCTGTTAGTAGGGTAATAATTACCATGCTACAATGACCCCTGGTTTTCGGGACCTAGAATGTTCTTTGCGCTATTGCTGCGGACCCTTACAAGCATTTTTGATAACTGGGTCAAGAAATCAGGTGTAGATTCAAAACTTGCAATCAGGGAGACAATGAAAGCCATTAATGTAGCTCTCCGGTATAGCAATGCAACTACATTGATCATGTCTTTGATACTGATTTCCTTATAAAGACTCAGGACAGACACAACATTGACTCAAATTGTATTGAAAAGCGTCTTTATTGCTCCGATGCGGCGATGACGTATAAAAACCATTCATTGTCCCATGGTCTATTATACTATCCTTGCTGCCATCATCCCATCTAAGCCAGAAATCTCGCGATAGCGATACGAGCCCCTACCACCAACATGCCCCTGACAAGCCAGATTCAACCCTTGAAGCCGCGTGAGGGTTTGACGGAGCGGCAGCAGTGCCAGGTCGCCCAGCTCTTCATCAAGAACAGCATCCCCTATGTCTACTTCCTGGCGCCCAGCGTCACGTCGAGCAGCCCGGACTACAATTCGAGCAGCTGGGTGATCCCGGACGAATACTTCGGACGAGCCGTCTGGCTACTCAAGCAAAAGCTCGACCTGCCGAAATGCCGGCTCAAGAGGGAGTGCGCCACGCGGAGCAAGCAGTTCCTGCGCCCTCTGGCCGACTACCACTTCCATTCGGCCAAGTACCCGACGGTGGAGGAATTCCGCCGCGGCTACCCCATCTCCACCTCGGTCGACCTGTACAAGCAATCGACTCTGCTGTGGATGTTTCCCAGCCCGCCGATCGGGTTTGTGACCCCACGGGACCCGCACTATGAGGCGCGGGGGCTTCCCAAGCCCGGGTTGCGCAGCTACCTGCCCCTGGCCGACAAACTGCCCGTCACGGTGCTGACTTTCCCCAAGTACATCGAGGCCTTCATCATGCTGGCCTGCCGCGACTCCGCGGGCCACTGGTCGCTCAAGTTCTGGATCGACTACCTCCTGTTCCTCCGACGGTACGAGGAAGGGGCGCGCCAGCGGGACCCGTCGCTCGCCGTCGACAGCGACAACGCGTTCCCCCTCTGGCGGATGGAGATGATCGACGAGCCCTACCGGGAGTACTATAAGCGACTGGTCTACTACGACCACGACCGGATCACGGACAACGACTGCGGCACGCAGAATCTGCGGTTCATGCACTCGACCCTGAAGGACCTGATGCATCTGCCCAAGGGGGACGGGAAGCTGCTGTGGTGTTGCTGGGGGAAGCCGCTCCAGGTCCACCAGCGGCAGCCCCGGCCTCCGTGGCAGACGGTTCGGAGCCAAAGCTTCACCCGCCCGGAGCTGGAGCTGCAGAAACTCGGCACCGAGCATCGTTGTGTGTATAAGTTGATGCTTGCGCCGCCTCGGCCTCCTGAGGCTTCTAGGCCCCAAGACGCTTCTTGGCGCGGTGAGGCTCCTGAGGCTCTTGCGCTTGCGCTTGCTGCGCCGCGTGCAGATAGTTCTGTTTATTCTGAGTAGTGTTCGTTATACCCCCTGTTTCTAGTTTCTTGGCGCTGGCGGCTATTGACTCTGGCGCAGATAATCAATCCATTCTGTATCATATCATTGCTGATCTTCTTTCCCGTTCACTAGTGTATGTGTTGGGTTGATTGTTGGCGGCACATGATGTAGGTAAACAACCTTCGCAACATGAAGTGTGGATATATGCTGAGGCTGTATCAAGTACCCACTTGCAGCTTTACACATTCGTGTGGATGCCAGATTCTGATGCGGCTGAGCTTCGGAATAAATTACGTTCCTTTTCTGAGATTGCGGTTTCTTTCAAGTTCAATAACGAGCATTGTACTATTGATGCGATGTAATTGATAGTCAGTTGATGATCACCGGCAGAGACTACCTAGTAGGAACCAAGAACAACCTAAAAGATCCTTCGGAGCTCTGCTACTGCTTGAGGAAAAAGACCACGAATGGCATTTTATTCCGTGTTCTGGTGCCAAAACCCACACGGAACAATAGGCGGTCAACCGAAGATCATGTGATATGGCAGAATCTTTTCTCTATTGCCCAAACAGGCTCATCAATCAATCCTGTGACCCTGTGAGAAGGAAAGAAGAAGAAGAAAAAAGGCAAACTTGTCTTCCAGGTGGTGTGACTACATACAGATTCAAGCGCTCTCCGCAAAGTCCCGCTCCCATTCTCGCGTTCTATGGTGTACTTTGTATTCAGGATACTGCCGAATATCGGCATCGGAAGGCAGTGGATCCGGTGGCTTGCTCCACATGATCTCAGCACCTTAGCTAATCACAATCACATGCCCCGGTGACGAAGCAGCAAACAAATTGCGAGAGTCACTGCAGGTGAGCAAAGAGTGAGAGAAAAAAAAAAAAAAAAGAAACGTGAATTCACCTCCTCACCGGGAAGACTCTTCATCCGACCGATCGCAATCAGGAAGAATGTGACCGGGAACATCCCCCTTTGTCTCAACTGATCTCTCTCCCTCACCATGTTGTGTCTCTTTCCTAGTTCTTTGTTAGCGACCTTAACATCTCGGATCGCCCTCTAAACGCGCTGTGATCGTGGCTGTGGAGGTGTTGCTGTCTACCCCGCCGGAGCGACTAGACAACCTGCAATAAGGCGACAACCAACACCCCTTTCCAGCTGTGACCTGCGAGTCACTGATTTACCAAATTCGAACTCGCTCAATTTTACATTGATCATTTTTGCCTCCTTGAAAACTCCCTCCTTCTTTCTCTTGTCCAACTTGGTGTTGTCTTCGACAATCACTTTTTGTTTTGCTTCTCCCGACGGGTGCCTTATACTGCCGTCATGGGGAAACCCCCCGCCGCCATCATTATTGCTAGGTAGGGCCTCACGCTCCTCGTTCTTGCAGGTATTAGATCATTTACTTATACCCACTTACTCAATAGACATGGCGCTCGCCTGGACGCTGCCGACAAGAATTGGCATTTGACATCTCCCACTCCTTACGATCCTCCCCTCTCCTACGGCGGCTGGCTACAGTCCCGCGCTCTTGGTGCTAGAATTGTCGATCTTCTACAGTCCCTGGACGATGAGATAGACGTTTCGACACACAGCGATGCTGCACGGAAACAATTCCTCGACCGCGTGAAGACTCCACCGCGCAAGCGCCGAGTCATCATCCATACCTCTCCATTCCTTCGTTGCCTCCAGACAGCTATCGCAGTCAGCTCAGGAATTTGCCAAAATTCCCCTGAACCGGACGACTACCAGCCGTATGGCTCGCTTGCAGGCCAGATTCACAATGCAACTCCCGGATCCCTAAAGAACTTGACTTTGGACACTCCTCCGAGCTCGAGCCCCAGGTCTAGCATGGACAACACGCGATGCCTTTTGCGTGTTGACGCTTTTCTCGGAGAATGGCTCAGTCCTGACTATTTCGAACAAATCTTGCCTCCTCCATCCTCCGACCGGTTGGTTGCCGCCGCCAAGATTGAGCTGTTAAGACGTGAGCAACATTTTGTCCCGGTGGCAGACACAACGTCCCGACCATCGGTTGGCTTCTTCCCGGGTGGTTGGGGAAGCGTTTCAACTCCAGTGTCTCCTGCTCCCGACCTCAACGCGCCTAATGAGGCTGAGTCTACATCGACAACACAGTCGGTGCCGGGGCACAGAACTCGTGCGGGTAGCTGTGACGCTTTGGGCGCTGGTGACGCCCCTCGTAGCAAGAGACTACTGAACAAAATCAACACCAATTTATCGCCCATCCCCGACAGCGCATATGTGCCTCCGACTCCAAGCTATGCCATTTCTCCCTCCAATCCAATACCTGCTGGATATGTGACGCATGCCCGTGATGCCTGCGTCAATGTCGACTACCAATGGGACAGCATGCGTGGTGACCAAAATTGGGGGAATGGAGGCGAATACGGGGAGGAATGGAGCTCAATGCATGCAAGATTTCGCAATGGGATGGAGCGCATGGTTAGCTGGTACGACGAACATGATTTCACAGGTTCTACCCGCCAAAGTCAGCGCCATTCGCAGATGTTGAACGGAACCGGCGACGTCAATCACCTCGACGATACTGACGACGAAACCGAAACCATTCTGGTTGTTATTACACATGGAGCTGGCTGCAATGCACTCATTGGGGCAATATCCGGGGAGCCAGCACTGGTCGATATTGGCACGGCGTCTCTCACCCTGGCAGTACGCTACCCTGACCTGCACGAGTCCACTGGGACCGCATCAACTGTGTCTGTTGGGTCCCTAGGATCCGAGCAGTCTTTCGAAGAGCCGTCCAATTTGCAAAGTTATCGCTTGAAAAAGGTAGCTTCGACCGAGCATTTACGGACTGGAGTTAGCAACCCCGGTGTTTCGTCACCGGTCAACCTCGCATCACCAGGCATCCCAACCTATCGCCAGCGTACTGCCCCGCGAAAGTCGATGTCGCAGGGGATGTTCATCATCGGCCCCTCCTCCATATCTGGCATGGGGTCCCAGTCGTGGAAAGCAGCACGGCCCTCGACCGCTGTAACCCCCAGTGGTTCAACGGGGCTCTGGGGGTCCGTCTCTGCCTCAACTGAGCCAGCAGATGACATTGTGCCCAACTTTGGCGATTGGACCACGCCAGCTCCTACATCGTCTACGAATGAAATCGGTCACGCTGTGGATAAGCCGGCCGCCACCGGACAAACCTGGACCAGTCAAATGCCGCAGCGAACCATGTCGCAGCGTGGTCTGTGGGGTAGCGAACCCCTGCCAAAGGATCGAGAAGCGGGCACCAAACGGCGTTGGACCGTGACGGAACGACGAAGGCTGTGATTTAGCATGTGATCCTGCACATTAGTTTCTTGGCGTTGTGTGCATCGTCCGTGGACGTCAGTAATGAATTTACGAACTACCGAGGAGGGGATCTACGGGATTTACTAGGCCCAGCCATGTACCTCAGAGTCTCGGCTAACATGGCATGTATGTACTAACTAATGGTTTTGAAAAAACACAATATACCCAAATCAATCAAAACAGACATATTTTCCACTTCATTCTTGAAATCCTACTGCAATTTTCGAATCGTAGGATGGCCTGTTTTTACAAGCTTGACATCTGGTTGCACCGCCTGGGCGACTAAATGGAAATAGGTGGCCGCGGGCCCCTGCCCATCCCTGCTCTCGACCAGCGCAATCGACAGGAGGATTGACACGTAGTACACACCCACCATCAAGCAAAGACAACAATGATCGCGGGGTTTCATGCAAGCCAAGAACATATTACTCGTTCGATCCATCCTTCGGCAGCTCACCCAGCCTTGACTGCAAAAAGGCTACTATTTATCGAAGATTTGTAAGAGGTCGGAGAGATTCCCATCCTTCCCGCCCCGCACGCACATCCTCGGAGACATGATTAATCATCTTACTGTCTCTAGTTGCTGCGGAAAAAATCTGCCAACCCGGGATGGATCTCTTCGTATTGTCTAGAACTTTACTCCGTATGCTGTAATCATCAATAAACCTCCCGCTGAGAAGATTTTCTTGGGGGGCGATGGTTCACCCGCCAGGCCTCTTCTGGTGGCCCGGCCGATTTACGGAGTTTGATGATGCGATGCAAGAAATTTCTTTGGCGAGTGTCCGTCAGTGAGTGGGGTTTGGTTTGGCAGGGCTGATTTGGGCTTAGCTTCCGCTGTGGGTTCCTTCCGGTTGTTATCAATGAACGAACTCCAATTTTAAGGACAAGGTCTTTGTTCGAATGCTCTTTCACTGTATTATGGTGAATGAAGCTTGGTGATAACTGTCTTCACAAGGGCAGGACACAAGGAGACGGAGAATGTTGTTCTCATGCTTGTTTTACTACGGGATCAGATTTCGCAGACGGAGAGAATATAAGGAGGCATCATGATGCCAATCCACTTGCTTGATCGCGTTCGTCACGATAGGGAAACGAACCTCTCTTGTGCGGATTCGCATATTTCTTACATACAAGATGTCGGATTCTTTGGCGCAAGAGTGTGGATTGAGTACTCACTCAAGTTTCCCAGAGGGTGTTTCGCAATGGACGACCGGTGCAGGCCGGAAAATCCCTCTGCAAACTGGCCTCTGGGAAGTGGTAGCAGATTTCCTGAACAAGAACGACCTGATTGCGTTTTCTGAATCTCGTCACGGTGTCTACGACGCCGGGAATCACAAGCGCTGTGCTGCTTGTCAGGACCAGATCTTGACTCCACAGGAGGTATACGACAATCACGCGGCGGCCGCCGCTGATGAAACCGCCCAACACACGGTCTTCGATCTGCACTCTGTGGAAAGTCCTGCCTGGACAGTTGAGCGCGGCGCGGTAAGTGAAAATGAGGTAGATGACTATGCTAACAAGCTTGCCAATGCCGTGACCCTAAGTGGATTGTCAATCCTGTCACGGGCGGTTCTTCGGGGAAGAAAGGACGTGGTGAATGTTCTTCTGAAGCATCGCGCGGACCCTAGTTACGGAGGCGAAAATGCTCACTTGAAGCCGTTAGACTATATCAAATCCCCCTTCCGTGGACCTGACTCAGCAGGTGACCCAGCGGAGATCAAGGCCGCCGTGGCGATGGTGGAAACACTGCTCACTCGCGGGGCGACTTTCACCCAGAAGGGGCCATGGGATATCATTTTATGGACTGGTCGTGTAGGCCTCATCCACCAGGCGGTCCACAACGGAGTCGATCTCTTCAGTCTGCGCTGGGAGAGCCAGAGTGTAAGTCTGAACCCGCTGAGCACTATCCTCCACCACCCAGCCCTGCCCGAAGACAAAGTCAGCGACGAGGTCCTCCGGGGCATTCTTGAGGCTGCGCCCCGGTTGATGGATATCACCGACGGCGAGGGGCGCACCGTCATTCACCAAGCCGTGCAAGCTCACTGGTGGCGTCTAGCGCAATCCCTGCTCCGGTTCCCATCAACGGCATGGCCCATTGCCAACGACGGGCAGAACGCGCTGACCATCGCCATCGCCAATGGCCAGACGAGATTGATCGCGGGTCTTTTGGACCGTCCCGAGTACGAGATAGACTTCATGCACGACGTCGACGCCATGCGCCTGTGGCGTCAGGTCAACAGCCCCGCTCGGGATTCCTTTCCGCTCCTGGTGGCTGTCGCAAAGGCCGCCCAGTTCCCAAGGGCCTTGTATACGCTGGCCACCCACCCCCGCGTGTGTATCCCCGCAAGCATGCCGAGTCGCCTCGATGTCCGACGTCTGGCGCTGAAGCTGGGGAGAGAGGTAGGCCTCAGTTCGCGCCAAGTCGTTTTGATCAAAGCTATCCCGGAGCGGTGGGATTATGACGAGAGGGCATCATTCAAGAGGGTTGCGTAAATCATCTACTCCCATTTATCTAGCAAAACCATTTTTAGATAATACAGTACAAAAATCGCTTAATCAACATGTCCTTAGATCAAGATCAACACGGTTTGTAATCATACCAGTCACCTATCGATCACCCATCCACACGCGTCAGATAGAAATGCAAAACCCCAGAGTCCCGATAATAGGGCTTATACTCATTTGTCGCCGCCACGGTACTCTCATTCACATACCGAAACCGATCTACCCTGTCTTTGCCGTCGGGAATGACAGCGCAGGCGCCGATCCCGTGGAACCTGATTTCACGGACCTTTTCCCTCACTGCGTATCAGCACTGCCCGCGAATCCATATATTGAACGGCTAGGTCTCACCTTCTCAGTCTCCTCTAAAGAGAAGAGTGTCCGGACGAGAGGCAGCCCGTCCTCCGCGATGGCCTGGGCCGGATGTCCCGTGTCGAGAAGGTGGATGCTCCATTCTCCATCCAAGAATTCCGGGGTTACCGGGTTGAGTCTGTCGTAGATTGTTTCAAGCTCGGCGCGGTCGAGTTGGCCCAGTGTTTGGGTGAGGGCGAGGTATTCTTCTGTTGGGTCCTGGGGAATGGTGCTATGGTTGTTAGTTCATGTTGTAGGATGTGGGTTTGGGATGCGTACCGTTCCATGGCGCTTCGTCGTAAGGATAGTCTCTCGCAAGTATGAAGTAGAGAGTATACGGGTAGATGCTATATTGGGGCGATGGGTTGGTTTTATCGGTTTCGTGTGGGCCTTTGCATCGCTTTTGGGCTCTAAATATACCCGAGCCCAACGCGGAGGTGTGTTTCTTGGTTGATTTCTGGCATTTTCCTTCTATGAGATATGTTGTCATTCGATGCGTGAGGAGGGGGATGTGGGAGGGATCCGCGGTATGTGTGTGTTCTCGATTAGCGTGCTTGCAGAAGTCGGGGTTACTCGGGTGGGCAGAGGCGACTGTTTACCTACTAGGTAGTTTTATGCGAAGTCATGATATAGTCTACGATGATCGTTCGTTGCTTAAGTCTATTCTTCTTACCTCTTCTCACATGTCGCACGTGGAATGACCCTACCAGCATCCAAGTCCGGATAACCAATTGTTTTGTTTTGCTACGCGGCATAGTACCTCGCTCTCTTGGGACTGCAATGATGTAAGTTTCTGGATACAGCGTATTCACTTTGTCCCATTCTCTCAAGATACCAACAACCGATTCTATTTACTTTAGACTATAGCTAGAATGTCATTGAAAGCAGATCTGCGCTTGAGGGCGACCATTTAGGTCGAAGTCTGAAATGTTCTCCTCTGGATCCGTGATCATGCAGGACAGCATTCTTGTTCTTTGACGTCACCGCATCGATGCAGACTGCCTATTTCTATCGCCCTTTCTGAGACTCTTGCACAATTTAGTGACACAAAGTTAGTTCAACAGCCTCCACCCGATCGTGTAAATTGAAATCTCGCTATTTGTGCTGTTGATACTGCCCGTCGGGGAGATATGGAGTCGGGTATTCGCCTTCGGACCTCGTATGAAGAGATTTCTGGATAGAGTTGCTCCTTTCAAGCGCAGTGTCTTGTCATTTCAACCCCTGCCGCGGACTCTGCGGCGATGAGCTCACGGAAGATCACTGGCTGCTCGATCGTCCCTTGCATCTCGAAATGTCGAACCCACCCAGTGAGGTTGTCAATTTCGGTAGCAGCCAGGTTATGGCGAGAACACCGTGTCTGGTATTGCTGCTAGGGATTTCGGAAGGGTCGCTCGCTTGTAATGAGTCAATGAGTCAATGATCTAAGATTGGTCGCGACCTGGAAGATTCGATTCTTCAGCTAGTCGTTGGAAATGGTTCTCTTGTCTCTGGATCATTGACTATCTGTGTTGCTATAGTATATCCTCTTCCTTGGGTGTCGTAGTGCTGTGTGTCCCGACGGCTGGACTTTCGTCGCTTCATGTCATTTTGAGATGAGAGTGCAAAAAGACCCGAGTGCAAAGAGCTAGTTTCCTTGTCGTAGAATGCATTTGAAACATTCCAGACCCCTGTTTGCTTGTTGCCCTGTGTCTTAGTTATCGGGTAGTTATCAGGCAGGCAGCTTATCAGGGCGACTTCTCAAGAGGCTGGGAAGGTGGATGGCGGGTGCCGTGCCTGTCAATTATCCTCCCGTCATTATTGCTATGGCTGTCAACTGTCAAAAGAATGCAATACAGCTTCAGTTGAGGTCGAGGAAGCTCTGACCATAAGCTCGTGCAAGGGCCAGATGTGGACTTGATCGGGCTGTGGGCGTGGTTGCCTGAGGTGTCGGCCAGGTACGTAAGTGCGGAGACAGCTTCCCTGTCCTCGATTCCTCCAGCCACTGGATTTTACTATTTTGGTCCGCGCGGGCAGGCAAGCTAAGAGCATGAATTTAAATACGCCGCCCACCAAGGCGGGCCTCGATCTCTTGAGCTCTTGTCACTACTTGTATGCTCCAGCCCCCATTCTCAATACAATTAAATTCCCTTTCCTTCCTCCCTCTATCCATCACCTGGCATTGTTACAGTTTCTCTCTTCCTCTTCCTATATCTCCTGCAGTGAGTGCAGCAACCTTCAAGCATGTCTGCTGCTCCGCGCCGCAATGGCCAGCCACCACCTCCATGTGAACCATGCCGCAAGTCCAAGATGCGCTGCGACAATGTCATCCCCGCCTGCCAGAATTGCATCCGTCGAGGCAAGGCCGAGAACTGTGTGTATCCCGCCCCTCCCGCCACACGCACCTGGTACTCGGATAATGCTCCATCGCCGACCGCGTCTCCGCGCTCGCAGGGCCGCCCGGACTCCTTCACCCAGGGTGGCCGGTCCACCCCCAACGGTGACGAGAAACTAGCCGCCCTGGGTCTCCCCACCACTGCCACGACCGCCCACAGCAACACCAACAACAACAACAATAACTCGGCCATGTTCAGTGAGATGGAAGACCAGTTTCGGGGGTCCATGTACCTCGATGCTGCCTCCGCGGGCCGGGCCGAGCCCACCACGCCGGATCCGAGGCAGGTCCAGATGGGCGCCCGACTGCTGACCTTGCTGTTCGAGAACCTGCCCCTGTACGAGCGCTTGGCGGAGACCTCGCTGGACGTGTGGCCCGAAGGGTGCATCCTGGGTCACCGGCTCATCACGGGGATGTTCGAGGCCCTGGAAGATATCCTGGAGGCCTTGACGTCCGACCCCAGCTACGTCAAGGATCGCCATTCGACGATGCTGCGGTGGACGCAGAAGATCTTCGACGACAGCGCCAAGCCCCTGACCGTGCATGCGGCCACGACCCCGGAGGACTACATCCGCCGGATCTCCTCCCGGTGGGAGGGCATTGGGCTGGTGTACTCGATCGTCGGGCAGGGCGCCATGCTGGAGCGCGATTGGCGGTCCATCCGCGAGCGCGAACGTAACGTCCCCCGTGATCAGAAGTTGTTGGCGGCCCAGGCGGTCTCGGCGAGTGATGCCTGTCTGCAGTTCTGTGATACTTTTGGCGCGGTGGATGATTCGCTTGGCTGGTTGCTGTTCCAGCACCTTCATCTCTTGACCTTGGTTTATGGTGAAAACGGTAGGTTGGATGGCTTTCTCTTGGTGCGGGGAATCGAGACGCAGGCTAACGACTGGCAGATCCTCGAGCGTGGAGAAAGCTGGCCGAGCTTGCGACCGTGGCTTTCACCCTCGGTTCCAATCAATCAGAGAAGGACACGAGGACCCCCTTCTTCGTGGTCGAGCTTCGCAAACGTCTGGTCGCGGGCGCATACAGCATCGACAAACAGCTGGCCACCTCCTTGGGCAGACCTCCCCAGATCAGCTGGCGCTACTATGACGTCCAGTTCCCGCTCGACCTGAGCTACGATGAGATTCTGGCCGAGCCGAAGATCCGCGAGACCGCCATCAGCAAGCTGGACAAGACGGGATGGAATACCCAGGGAGTCGTGGGGAAGTCCGCGTGGCTTCGGATTGCGCTGCTCATTGGCTCGACGAGGGAGCAGATTCTGGAACTGTCGCTCAGTCGTCGTATTGACGATTTATCTCGCAAGGTTCAGTAAGTGCATTGTCCCGGCCTCTACTGAAGACATATCGCTTACGTTGCCCGCTTAGGGAGGTGTCTCAGCAATCGCACAAAACTTGGAACGAGCTACCCAGCTTCCTTCGCTGGCGGCCTGGCTCTCCCGACCCGAATGGTTCGAGCAGTGTACTTCTGCCCCTGTATTTGAACTTTCTCTACAATGACTTCCTCCTTTACCGGGTTTTGTTGAAGCGGACTCAGAGCGGTGGGGAGGGCTTGATCGGTGTGTCACAGAACATACTGAGCACCATTCTCGAGCTCATTGGGAAGGAAATTGGGTCTAGGGCTGGCACCTATAATGTCGGATGGAATGTGAGGATCGCCAATGTCTTTTCTCTGCTATGAATCTGCGCTAACAGCTTGCAGGCATCGTCATTTGGTCTCCCTGCAGCCGGGGTCTTAGCTATCGAGCTCCTCCGTCAGTCCGAAGCCCAGGCTCAGGTCCAAGCCGCCCCGTTCCGCCGATCGGAGGTTATCCAGAAACTCACTGTTTTCGCCTCCCATCTCCAATATGTCGTCCGCCCGCACGATGGCATGTACGATGTCTGCCAGCGTGCACGGAAGGTCATCTCCAACATTCTGGATCGGGTCCTGACGGTCAACGCATCCCCGATGCCTGCCACCCTGCCCGCCGATGTTCTGGCAACCAATTGGCTCAACGGCGAGACTGTCACCCTTGACGACGGCACGGATTTGTACCGGTGGATTGAGAATCTCTACCCGGACACAGCTGGATCCACGGCCTCCTGGGCTTGAGCCCGACATAGCCTCATGATATGGAAATGATTGATGATATAAGCCGATGACTGTGGGCAGATGCAGATGCAGATGTGTCTATCACCCCCAACCTACCATGTTATGACCATATACCCCCTCTGTGTGACTGAGGACGAGCAAAAAGTGAGCAGGTTTTCTTGTGATGAGTGGAAGACGAAGTGCACTTTGCTTGTTCCATAATGTTGTATTTCGTGTTGCCACCTGTTCTTTATTTTCAGTTCTGTCGAATTCTTTTGCTTCCTGCAAGTTTCGTCTGCGATGTGAAGGTTGTTAGAATTGTACTTGGGCAACAATGGTTATTAATGCCATATAGCGTTACATTGCAATCGGCGGAATACACGTCAGCGCATGCAGTACATTGCATCAGCTGGAGCGGGATGGTTCCAATTAAGAGTTCTTATTGAGCTGCAACCCGACGTAGGATCTGACAGGGCTCATTCTGGCCGATGACTCTGTTGTTTGTTGAGGACAGATACTCCGGAACTCCGTCACAACTCGTGTATGAGGGAAACGCTCATTATTGAGACCAGACGCCCTTGCGTATCCGCTATCTTTAGAAGCACTAGTGCGGATGATCGATAGGCGATAAGTTATCGGGCTATTGACGGGCTGATAAGCAGACGCGGGCATGTGATCACTCCAAGGATGGGAGGGAATGTGGGGCGGTGTTTACCGACAGAACCCCGAGATCATCACCCGTCACATGGGAGTGGTAGCAGAATGTGGCGGATACTACGACTCTGTTTGGATGCTGTCAACTCTGCGCCAGACATTTATTTGTGTGATGACTCAATTGCAGGCTGTGAGGACAACCGGATCCTCGGATCCTGGGGATCCAGCATTCAGAGGGCCCTGAGAATGACTCCGCTGTCTTTTCCGCCACCGCGGCGTCGATCCGGTGTGCCCAATCGTGGTGGAGTGATTGGCCGGCGACCTCCGCATTTTCCGGGTGCCTGCATGGCTGCCTTGATGCCTGGCGCGGTGCCAGACCCAGCGTAACTGCGTCACTGGGCCCATTCCTTGTCTTTGTCCTTGTACGGCGTACTTGTACACATAGCCTCCCTCTTGTCCATCCCTTTATCTCATCTCCCTTTCTCTTACTCTTCCTCTTCCCTTAGTGTCTGGACTTGTGAAATCTCCTCTCTTGTCTGTCTCTACCTCTGTTTGTACATACACATACCCCCAATCAAGGCATGTCAGCTGTCGCAAACGACGGGTTCTCCGTCATCCATACTAGTGGCCGAACAGGCCCGCCGGATCTCCGATTGATTCACTACAATGATGTCTACCACGTAGAGTAAGTTCGCATTGCATATTGGGGGTAGAGACCTTACCACAGAGATCATGTTGCTAACCATCCGACTGTCGCCATAGACCAGGTTCCGCCGAGCCCGTAGGAGGCGTCCCCCGCTTCCAGTCTGTCGTTAACTACTATCGTTCCGATCCCGCCTTTGCCGGCCAACCCGGCGTGCTTACCTTCTTCTCCGGCGATGCCTACAACCCGAGTCTAGAGAGTTCGGTCACGAAAGGCAAGCATATGGTGCCGTTTCTGAATAAGATTGGGACGGATGTGGCTTGTGTTGGGGTACGTTTCCTTTCCATGTTGTTTCGGGGGCTGTTGGAAGATGGGCTGGCAAGCTTGGCTGGTGGTGGAATACGAGAGCTCGGTCAGGCCATTGGGTGTGGTGTGGGATACGAGATAAGCTGACAGCTCACCTGCCGTATTTAGAACCACGATCTCGACTTTGGAGTAACGCAATTTCGCCATCTACGCACACAATGCCAGTTTCCCTGGTTATTAGCCAATGTTATCGATCCAGCGCTGGGGGAGGATGTCCCTATCGCTGACTGTGAAAAGACCGTGATGCTGACCGCATCGAATGGGCTGAAGGTCGGGGTGATTGGACTGGGGGAGAGGGAATGGTACGTTGGCATCCGCGCACATACACCGCTACTTGAGAGGTCATATTTGCTGACATGTTGCATGTTTCACTGATTTAGGTTGGGAACGATCAACGCCCTCCCGCCGGATCTCATTTACAAATCGGCGTCGAAGACGGCGCTGGAGCTTGCGCCCCGGCTGCGCGAGCAAGGGGCCGATATCGTCGTCGCTGTCACCCATCAACGCGAACCGAATGATTACAAGTTGGCCGAGAATCTGACACCGGGGCTGGTGGATATCATCTTGGGAGGTCACGACCACTTCTATGCGCATGCTGTGGTCAACGGAGTGCATATTCTCCGGTCGGGTACCGACTTCAAGCAGTTGAGCTATCTGGAAGCCTGGCGCAGGGCGGACGGCGCGGGATGGGACTTCGACATCGTGCGCAGAGACTTGGTTCGATCCATCCCGGAGGATCCGTCTGCCAGTGCCATGGTCGGTCGGTTGACGTCGAGTTTGAAGGCTAAGCTGGAGAAGCCCATCGGATACACTACGCGGCCGCTGGACGGCCGGTTTTCGACCGTGCGTCAACGGGAGTCGAATCTCGGAAATTTCGCATGCGATCTCATGCGGTTCTACCATGGCGCCGACTGCGCGATGATGGCTGGTGGGACGATTCGCGGCGATCAGATCTACCAGCCAGGAGTGTTGAAGGTGAAGGATATTCTCAACTGCTTCCCCTTCGAGGACCCTGTTGTTCTCCTCCGCATCAAGGGCCAAGCGCTTTTTGATGCCTTGGAGAATGGAGTCAGTCAGCTTCCCGCGTTGGAGGGGCGGTTCCCGCAGGTGTCGAACATCTCATTCAGCTACAATCCATCTTCGCCGCCCGGCTCGCGGATCAACTGGGCCAAGATCGGTGGGCAGCCCATTGACTTTAGCCAAAGCTACCTGCTTGCCACCCGCGGCTATATGGGCCGTGGTAAAGATGGCTTTGCGTCACTGCTCGTGCAGTCGGAGGGTGGCGAAGTGGAAGAGGTGGTTGACGAGGAAAGCGGCATCCTCATCAGCACCCTGCTCCGCCAGTACTTCCTTAGTCTGAAAGTCCTAGGGAAGTGGCAGCGATGGAGCCAGAGCCTAACGCGCCACTGGGACACAGTGCACAAGAACCTGCACAGAGACGAATGGCTGAAGGCCCCTTCGACCCAGACTTCACCGGCCTCGGAGAAAGTGCCCTACCACGTCCAGCGGCCTACCTTAAATCGCACGAAGCAGAAATACTACTACGGACGCTATTCCCCCAGCGACTCATCCGAGTCAGAGAGATCTGACCAGGCGTCGCTGGACTCGGATTCCGACACCGACCCAGAGGTTTTGACGTCGCCACAGCCGATCACCAATTATGTCACTCACCCGGCTAAGTCGGCTACGGAGGAGGAACGCCGTCTGCGGCTTGCCCGCAAGGTGACTCGGCTCTGGATGCGCAAGGCCGGGTTGCAGCCATCTCCGATCAACGATTCCGAAGAGCTGGGCGGGTTCACCCCGAACTGGACGCCGGGGATTTCTCCGCGATTAGAAGGGAGGATTGTTATTGAAGGAGTTTGAGTTCTTGTTGGTGGGTGTGGATTATTGGATTGAATATTGATTTGTCTAAGGTACAAGCATTTGAGAGCATTTCGGGTTTGATATGAGTCATGATATACAGCGTTGGCATAGTGGTTTCAGGTGTGTCATAATCATAATAGACTCATAAATAATAGTTTATGAATCATCAATCATGTCTGTCTATACACGTAGAGTGGAAATCTTACTATTATGCAATCCGGCGGATGGCATCGCGCAACGGATTTACGGTGGCGAATATTATGCGAGACCTCGGATAAATTCCGGCGATCTAGATCTTGTCATGCGCATCCATCTGATTAGGTCCGTCCCTCCCCTGATGATCCCATTTGTCTTGAGAACCTAATTGTTAGGTAGCATAGAACATCGTTCAATCTAAGGGTGAATGAGGCACATGATACATAGTGCAGACAATTACCAAAGATGAACAGACCCTGCCATGGAATTCAGTCAATATGATCTTCTTGTGAGTGAATACACTTCAGCATCTTCCACAAACGATGAATACTCCCAGTTTGTGAATGTAGAATTCAATAGGCATATTCACACTCTTAGGTTCGTGGGAATTAACTACCATTTGGCCAGCCAGCTTGGTCTATCATAAAATCTTCCTCCTTCTCAGTTTCTTTCCCACTTCCCTCTTCTCAATTATCTTCCTTCCTAGCTTCATCTACTTCTGTATTCATGTCCTGCCTGTATCTACATACTGGTGATACATTCTGGTGATACATCAAGCCTCCTGTAGCCAGTCTTTCATTCTTCTATATCCTGTTTCTTGATCCTGATTCTACATTCTTCTTCTACACCCCAAGGCAACCTGGATAATCTGGATCATGGCGACATTTAACCGTTACATAAAGATCTTTGGTGCTCAATTCCCTAGCTAGTCTTTCGATTCCCCATGATCCAGGCCTGTTTTCCACACCCAAGGGTCACTCTTGGGCATTGCGTTGGAAGCCAGGCAGAGCCCTGAAACCTCGTATCCCTTTCGGTTATTTTGGTTCATACTGAGGAGATATTGGGTCTGTGCTGTCATGTCCCTTTCTTCACTCCATCTGCCTTCGAAAAGTACCATAGGTTATCCTACCTAACCTACCTCATGTCAACAGACAATCGAGGCTTTCCACCATCGACCCAGACTTGCCCTATCCGAAAAGACGAGATCTTCGTTCTGCGGAGCCATTCTACCCCCGCCCACTGTGGAACTTGCACTCTGTCTGGTTCTGATTGTCACACGAGCGCTCAAGCTAAGGATCCGCGATAAGCTCAATCAGGAATAGCTGTGTCCTGGCTGTTGAGCGAAGTGCCAGAATTAGGTGAGTGCGCTTCCCGGAATTTTAATTGGGGTGCTAATGCAGAGGTAGACATGACAAACAATAATCCGAGGCAGCTCAACGGGTCCTTCAAGGGGCGAGATGCGATGGCCACTGTCGTACTCACAGTCCTCGACTTTTCGACTTTTTTTCTTTTTTTCTAGTCTTCCTTGTAGCCTTTTGCTCCTGGAAAAGGCTATGAAGAGCATCACCTCGTTAAGGTGGCGTGTGCTGCGTCAGTGCTTTCGGAGCCGTGCGTGTTCAGCTGCTGCTCGGGATTCCTCCTTCGAGGGGAATTGCTGTCGATACAGGGAATGGTGTCACATGAGATTGCGAACGCTGGCTGCGGTTGCGGATGACTATCCTATCCCAGCGTCTGCGTTCTGCTTGCCCTGTGGTACCTTGGTTGTCTTGGCTTTCTGCGGGGGTCATATCTATGCCTTCATGATTGGGAACCCCGACCATAGATTGGGTATCTCACGTCTATCGCCAAGCACATGTGGCGTGGCTGTCCTGGGCAACGATTAGGGCAT